GGCCGACCTGAAGAACGCCATTGTCAAGGAGATGCACGCTGCTGTTGGAGACGAGGATGCGTCCGAGAAGGACGAGGAAGATGACTTCCTTGTCGCTAAATCCAAGCCCGAGTCTTTTCCCGAAGCCAAGACTGATGCAAACCTGGACGTTGAGAATGCGGACAAGGATCCAGAGACGTTCTTGTCAAATTTCCTGTCGGCAAGGGCATGGATTCCGGCCGGCAGATCGGAACTGCAGCCATTTGAGTCCGACGATGAGGAAGAGGACGAGCGGGCGGAAGCATTCGAGGAGGCATACAATTTCCGCTTTGAGGATCCCAGCAAGTTGAATGCTACTCTTATGACGCATTCTCGTGACGCTACCAATCAGCAGTCTGTCCGCAGAGAAGAAAAGAGCATGAGAAAGAAGCGCAGAGATGCGGAGCGAGAGCAGAAAGAGCAGGAAAAGAAACAGCGTGAGATTGAAAAGAACCGACTTCGCAAGCTGAAGATGGAAGAACTGCAGGAGAAGGTTGAGAAGATCAAGGAGGTTGCCGGTATCCATGGAACTGAGATGACGGATGAAGATTGGGTCCGCTTCTTGGACGAAGCTTGGGATGACAAGGATTGGGAGGCCGAAATGCAGAAACGGTTCGGCGAGGACTACTATGCCGAAACTGGCCCCGATGGCAAGAAGCACCCCAAGAAGCCCACATGGGACGATGAAATCGACATCAAGGATCTCGTGCCAGACTTCGATGATGAGGAAGAAAAACCCGCTGTGGCCGATTCGGACGTGGAAATGGCGGATGAGCAGGAGGGAGAGAAGAAGAAGAGCAAGGCACAGGAGAGGAGAGATCAAAAGCGCGAATCCCGCAAAGATCGCATGCGTATCGAGGAAGCCGTAGACCGCAATCTGGATCTAGATATCAGCTTGCTTCCTGGAGCTACCAAGAAGAACGCAACTGGATTCCGTTACCGCGAGACCTCGCCTCAAAGCTTTGGGCTTACTTCTCGGGATATTCTCATGGCTGACGACAACCAACTCAACCAATTTGCAGGCCTGAAGAAACTTGCGTCATTCCGTGACCCGGAGAAGAAGTACAAGGACCAAAGGAAATTGGGCAAGAAGGCCCGCCTTAGGCAATGGCGCAAGGACACCTTCGGTGATGAAGAAGGCCCCAAAATCTCCGATGAGGCTCCCAAGGCCCCTACGGCAGACCAGGAAGATGTGGGCAAGGTTGACATCCGCGATGGTGAGCCCAGGAAGAAGAAGAGAAAGAGGTCGAAGAAGCACTAGATGCTTTAACCGATCTACAGTCTTGAGCATGTATGTCATTACAAGATCCTTGTCTTGTCTTGAAATGGTTTCAGTTCAGAAAAGTTCTTAGCGATACATCCGTGTTTTGATAGATTTTAGATGCAAGATATACCTACTTCGTTGCATATGGCTGTAATCATTGGACAAGCTTCATGGTGGTTTTGTATGGTCTAGCTACTGTTTTCCTCAGCTAGGGTTTCAACAAGGGATTGAATGCACAGTTGAAGATGCCTTCAAATGAGTGTATGTATACGAGATCTCGAGCGTTTAGGACGATGAAGATTAAGCCCTCTAGATGTACCTGGCTGAGTGCGTTGTGCATGAACCTCCTAGACTGGGCTAGGTTATCATCCCAACGCCGCAGACTCTCAGGCCCTGTGGGCCCCGTGTGACGGCACAATCTGGTACTCTGAAGTGTCCTGTAGAAGAGGCGAAAAAGTGGATATCATCATGGCGACAGAGCAGGGGGTCTAGTATTCATTGATGTGGACCCAACTGGACATTGTTTTCTTCTTTTTTAACTTCGTAGTTGAACCCGTGTCGTCTCTAGGCGCATGGGAGGCAGCGATAAGCAACCCTACGGAGGACTATTTGATACGCGACGGATCCAGAAGGCTCTCCACAAATTTCTCAGGAATGGAGGATGAAAAAGGCGCACTATTAGTAGAACTTGTATAAGAACCAAACAATTGACAATCTAGATACTCGATACCGATATGAATCTGCCCCAGGTCTTAGAAGTTAGAACCTATTAGCACCTCCGCATTACCGAGTGAGAAGACTTCAAAGGTTCTCATTATTCACTCCCGTGCCTCTGGCGGCCTGGCCCAACTTCTCCGAGCCTTAGTATCCTCCGGACGGAGCGAATGACGGGGGAAACGCGGGATGACAGCCGAAAGTCGGTGCACGCGCTTAAATGAAAGTATACAATCAGACCTCTACGTATAGATAATGAACGATGAGGCTGTAGGACCAAGGGGAGGTCAGATTTTTCTCCTTGGCCCGAGCTACAACAAGTTTTTCCGGGAACCAGAATCCAGAGGAAGGGAATTCGCCATCGGGTACTCGGGAGGAGTTGGAGAAAGGGATATGCGTCTCGATTGTTGTTGGTTATGCGGCGGCGGCGGCTGCTACTGCTGCTGCTGCACGCGGACAAAAGTTGGTTCGGTGAAGACGGGCGGAATTGCTGACGAGGCACTAAGGCAGCAAATGACCGGTCTCTTTGTTATTATTCTGAGGAATATCGTTGTTTTGGGGGCGCCGAGGGTCCCGATATGGAATCTCCAACTGAGGCTCTGGGCATTGACTGCCTACAGGACAAATTGCATGTCTTCATAAAATTATGTTTCTGGTAGTGGACAAGTCCAAAACCAACCGAATAGTTAGTCTTCACTGAAATTAATTTCAGACATGTACAGAGTACGGAGTACGTAGGGACGATTGCTTCTGCTCCATAAATAACTCAACCGTGAGAAATTTCCCTCTTTTCCCTCTTTCCATATCAGCGGTCGGGACGGTTACTGGCGCGATCGGGAGATATCGGCTCTGGTTGCCTGGGCCAGCATTAGCGCCGGACCCAGTTTTTTTTCACTTTTTCTGAATTTTTTTTTTCCTTGGTGGCCGGTAGACCCGCCGCCTCCTTTCCTCCCTCCCTTTTCTCCCTTTTCCCCTACAATGAGAAAACTCCCTACTCCGGACCGGCACCCAGATAGCCTTCTCAAAGTGGACTAGTGTGGCCGCTGTTCGCCGCCGCTGCCATTGCATCGACTGCACATTCAGGCCAGCGAAACAAATTTCCCTTTCTCCCTCCCCCCCCCAAGAGAGTCCTAGCGTCTCCGCTCGCTTCTTCCCGCTTACAAGAGCCCTCCGTTCGCTATTTTTTCTCCCTTCCCTTCCCTTCTTCTTTCTCTTCCTTCCCCCATCCCCCCGTGAAGTGTCCTGTTTGTCTGGCACTATCTCTCTCCTCTCTTTTTTTGTTTAGTTTTCGTTTCTCACAGCCGTAAAAATGGCCAACGGTGACGTTAACCAGGCCGACAAGTCGGTCTTCGGCATGCCCGTAAGTTGCTACCTGTCCCTTCAATCGACAGTCGACCAGTTCTTTCGCATCACGCGCCATTGAATATCCAACTCGAAACGGCATCAAAAGGGCCGATATGAGCTTGGATAGTGTCAAATGGGTCGGAGGATTGAGATGCTGGTCGATCTGCTTCGTTATCGATCGATCACAATGCTAATAAAAATTTTCACAGGGCTTCGTCGTCGACTTCATGAGTATGTGAAATCCTAGATTCCGTGGATCGATCGCCACCCAACAATCGATCTTCCATCCATCAATCAACGACACCACATTATCGACTGCTATCTATGGATTACTGATACTAACTACTGTTCACAGTGGGTGGTGTTTCCGCTGCTGTCTCCAAGACTGCTGCTGCCCCCATCGAGCGTATCAAGCTCCTCATCCAGAACCAGGATGAGATGCTCCGCGCTGGTCGTCTCGACCGCAAGTACAACGGTATCGCCGACTGCTTCCGTCGTACTGCTGCCGCTGAGGGTGTTGTCTCTCTCTGGAGAGGTAACACTGCCAACGTCATCCGTTACTTCCCTACCCAGGCCCTCAACTTCGCTTTCCGTGACACCTACAAGTCCATGTTCGCCTACAAGAAGGAGCGTGATGGATACACCAAGTGGATGATGGGTAACCTTGCCTCCGGTGGTGTATGTATTCCCGATCTACAAGAGCGTTCTGAGGACGGACAGTCGCTAACCGGATGAACAGGCTGCTGGTGCCACTTCCCTCCTCTTCGTTTACTCTCTGGATTACGCCCGTACCCGTCTCGCCAACGACGCCAAGTCCGCCAAGGGCAACGGTGAGCGTCAGTTCAACGGTCTCGTCGACGTCTACAAGAAGACCCTCGCTTCCGACGGTATTGCCGGTCTCTACCGTGGTTTCGGTCCCTCTGTTGCTGGTATTGTTGTCTACCGTGGTCTGTACTTCGGCATGTACGACTCCATCAAGCCCGTTGTTCTCGTTGGTCCTCTTGAGGGTAACTTCCTTGCTTCCTTCCTTCTCGGCTGGACTGTCACCACTGGTGCTGGTATCGCCTCTTACCCTCTTGACACCGTCCGTCGTCGCATGATGATGACCTCCGGTGAGGCCGTCAAGTACAAGTCCTCCGCCGATGCTTTCCGCCAGATTGTCGCCCGTGAGGGTGTCAAGTCCCTCTTCAAGGGTGCTGGTGCTAACATCCTCCGTGGTGTTGCTGGTGCTGGTGTCCTGTCCATCTACGACCAGGTTCAGCTCCTGCTCTTCGGAAAGAAGTACAAGGGTGGCTCTGGCTAAACGCTTTGACTAAAAAGGTCAAATCTGTTTGAGTCGGTGTGAATCCTTCTGGGGAAGGGGTTGGCCAGTCCTCTGGTGTAACTACCAGATGCTGGACGATACTGGGGAGGATAGAAATATGCCTCAAGAATGACACGTTTGTCTTGGGCATAAAGAAGTGTGTCATTTCCTCTTGTACCAGTTGTATTTTACTGCCTGCAAAGCTTTTCTTTTTCTTTCCAATATCTCCCTAGTAGTTTTGCCTCCGTAGGTCTTTGTCTGGTAGACTTTTCCGAATCCGGTCACCTGATGAATGTCACGTGCGCGGCACAATGCAGTGACGTCGTTCTCTGGAGCTGAGAGCAGCTCCTTCAACATCTCGACTTACAACTTCAAGAGTTGGATCGCATTCGCAATGGACAACGAATCTTCAATCTTAGACGGGGATTCTGCTAGGAACGCTTCATCCCCAGAGCCGAAACCAGAAGAACGTGTCATTGACAGTTCATCGCAACCGCCCTCCACCGCAGCTACCTCCACTGCACCACCATACTCACCCATCTACGCCACGGCGCAATCCGACGATATACCTTCCCTCCCTGTGCAAACGCCTCCGCCTGCGCCGGCAGCAGCGCCATCCTCAGCATACACCCCAACACCAACCACTATGGGCGACGCCACAATCCCAAGCTCGAGCACCACGACCACCTCTCCCCCACCCCCACAGCCTGGAGCTCACCCTGTCCCAGCTCCTACCAGCACAGCTTCCGCTCCAGGATCCTCCATACCTCCACCTCGCAAAGCATGCGCGATCCCCAGTCCTTCCGCCACAGCAGCAGCAGCAGCAGCACAACAACAAGCTTCGGCACAAGCAACCACCGCAGCACCCGAACTTACAGCAGCAGCAGCAGTAACAGCCATAACCCCATCAACAACAACGATCCCGCCCTCCCCCCTCCAACCACAGCAACAACAACCCTACACAACCCAACAACACCAATACCCCCCCACAAACCCAGTGCCAGTGGCACTGCCAGTCCCCAACGCAACAACCACCCCCTACCCCTCCCTCTACCAACCCCCGACCAGCGCCACCCTCCCAACCACCACAACCTCCCATCCGACGACCTCTCAACTGCCCCTGCACTACGACCCCGGCGTGTCAGGGCGGGTGGACCTCGACGAGGCCGAGGGAGGCATCGTGGCGAACGCCAAGTCGTGGCTCCGCAGTGCGGGGACCAAGTTGGCCGAGGTGGAGGCGGAGGTGTGGAAGAAGATTAATGATGTGCATGATAAGTGAGCCTCTCTTCTTCTCATCAGAAAAGGATAGTGATGGGGGGTGGGGCCGGGGGGGGGCGAAGGGATATGTGTTTATCGGATGGGATTGAGGTTGGGGTTTCGATGGTGGATGTGTCTTGTGTTATTCGGCTCGGGGAAGGAGTTTGGGTACCTTCTCTTTCGTCTCTTGTATTTTGTTTCGGGGCGTTCGGCGTGAGTGAAGTGGGGTTTTGTTCGTGTCGTTCATTGAGGGTTAGTAGGGCTAAAAGTGAGGATCTGGGTATCGATGGGTGTCTTTTGCTTGCATGCGGGCGGACGCTGGGAGTTCGACTCGGGTAAAGCACTTGGTTAAGGTTGTATATGTGACAGGTTGTTTGATATTTGGACTCCTGGTTATTGAAACAAATCTATCTTTAAACCCTCGTGACCTGACGATGAGCAATGCGTAGTCTACTATCTCAATCCTAGCCAGGCAAGAATACACAACAAGCAGAGTTTGAAAGATAGCCTTGGGTCTATGACTAGCATAGTTGTTTGTATTAATGTCTATGTATCATATTCACAAAGGCCTCACAGGTAATCCGTAGACCCGAGTTGACTGTTTCCTGAACTCGTCAAAAGTATGCACAATGTGGAGTGGTGATTATCCCATGTCATCAAGTATATATGTATATATGTTGAAAACCTCCGAGGGCCGAATGCAGGAAACGAAGGTGCTGTCAAGATAGCAGCGGAGGTATCATAATCATAAGTCCATGCCATCGCCTGACAGAATGTCGAAGCTGACTGCACGTCTGTCAGTGTTGAGCTGACGACGCTGGCATCGTAGCGATGCCGTCAAAAGAAAAAAAAACGCCTTCATGTCAATCCCAGATAAGCCAAGCCAACTCCTGATGCAACCCGGGATCGAACCAGTCGACCCGGTAGTGTTCGTGCAGCATGCTGGTGGCCCCAGAGATGGAGACCGAAAGCAAAAAATATATGTACTAAGAAAGGAATGGTCCAGCCTCAAAATAGGTCATGCAAAGACCGGTACCCTAGGGTTGCCTGCGGCGACTGGCCATCGAACCACATCACATCGACCCGAGCCGTAACAGTGCAGCTGCAGCTGCAGCCCGCTCATCCCCATCATTCATGGCATTATCAGGGGGATTGAACCCAAGCTGCTGGATCGGAAAATTGCGCGGTGCGGATTTTGCTAACGAAGAGGTTGCCGGCCCTCCTCCCCGTAGTTGAGGCGACTTGCCGCTGCCGTAGACAATACCGCCCGAGGCGTTGAGGGATCGTGCACGAAGAGCATCGGCCCCTATCTGCGCCCAATCCTCCTCATCTGTCACATCTTCTTCGCCCCAATCCTCGATTGGCATTTCGTCGTCAGGGGCCTCAGAAGATGAGCAGTACTCGCGTTCGTTGCCGTCCAGAGACATCTTGTCAGCCTCGTCTTCCAACATGCTGATACCGGAACGGCCAAACTCCATCTCGGTTGAATAGGAAAACACGGCGGAATCACCCGCTACGCTGGTGCCATATGGCTGCAGGCTATCCCTCTTGGTGGTGGGAATCTGCATGCCCCGGTGGGAGAACGTGTCCGAGGGACTGGAGGGGGGCGACATGTTCATCCGTTGCGAGTCTCTGCGCAACGGTTCGCCACGACGCCGTGCATCCCAGCGACCCCATCCAACCTTCTCGAAGATCACATTGCTTTGAGCGGTATCGCTTTTCTCGTCGAACCCTCGACCCTCCAGTGCGGCCACAACCAGTCTCCGTGCTTTGGCCGGAGGAATACCCGAGAAGCCAGGAACAGAAGAGGTTAAATAACCCATCAGGTGGCGAATGGCCAAGGGCCCATGCTGCAGCATAATCTCTGGAAGATGGTGTTTGGCCAACATTCCAGGGGTTATAGCTCCGGTGCTATCGAGATCATGGGCAGCGAGGGAGTTCGCCGTAGCATCTCCAAGGTCGACGTCCGAGTCCACATGCGAGGAAGCAAGCGGAGAGTAACCCGACTGACCGACATCCTCTCGTCTGAAGCCCTGAGGCGGCAAAGTTGGTGATATAGAGTTGGGCGGTGTGGGCAACAGAGCAGGCGCTCCGGGGCGAGTCGAGTCGCGACCAGCCATAGGAAAGCCGGGACGCGGCTTGGGGATGTCAACCGAGGCGGTCTTACCAGCAAGGGCCATAGCGATGCTGGACGTGGTATTCTGGAAAGCCATGATGGGTGTTTCGAACACAGGGAGAGGAATGCTTCTATTCAACCTGGTGGCTAATTATTGATCTGTAATCACATGAGTCAGATCAATGGTCGACCAACCATAGCGCGCAAACCAAACAATAGGAACAATGAATGGAGGAAGATGACTAAAGTTCCAGGCCCAGTACAAACACACCCTCCCACAGCCACAGATTCAGGCTCAAGAATGATTGATGTGAAAAAAAAAAAAAAAAAAAGAAATAAAAAAAAAGAATGTGGTTGGTAAAATTGGAGACTTGGGGTCTTTGACTTACAGTAATCTGTTGACAGCAGTCGTAGAGGTGCAGACGCAACGGTGAGCGGACTTAGTATGCAAGCCTGATGCGATGCGACGCGCTAAGAGGGGCGTAGGGTTGGTTGATAAGGGGAGGAACGCGACGGGTGGGAGACAAGTAGATCCAGGGGAACAATGTTCACGTTATTGGCAAGAAACCACGTAGATTCGATGGAAAACGTTCCTTGACAATTCAGACAAGAGGAAGAGTTTCGGTCGAAGAAAAGAAAAAAAGAAAGGGAGGAAAGAAGGAGGAGGGGGAGGGAAAGGAGGAGGGAAGGCAACGCAAGGAGTTTGGTGCAGTCCGTCAATAATAATAGTAGGTAGGTAAGAAAGCCCAGGTAAGAATAGTAAGAATAGCACAATGGAATGTCTTGTCAGCCGGCGCAGCAGCAGCACTGCAAGTCGTGCTAGAAGGAAATGTCCGTTCTATTGCAGATGATACACGGCGGTCAAGTACTCAGGAAGTACCAGTGTTGTCGCTTTTGCTCTTCGGGTCATTTGTGCTTCGCTTGACTTTGTGAAAGGGGAGGGAGAGGGGTCCAAGTGCCAGGGAATGAGAGAAAATGACCAGCCTTAAGAATCTCAGAATCCCAGAGTGAATGAACTGAGTGTGACCCTCTTATCGCGGGATTTCCTTGGACAAAGCATCCATCCTTTCTCCTCTTTCTCTCAACCCCCGTCATGCCGCCCCATACCGGCGGACCTTTACGGGGTCCATACGAAGTCGAGTAACTAAGGGTTGAGTCCCATGGCTGGGGCGTGGGCTCGAGGATTGGTGGACACCAGCTGGGCCCGCTTGAAATCGCACCGGGAGGATCCGGGGCCACCAGCCCTGATACCGCTGCTGCTGTTCTCGTACCGTATCGGAGGTATGGGCTGTGTACCTCCAAAGTATCGGCCTTATCAAGGTCAAGAAGGTCCAAGAAGGTCCAAGGTACACCGTTCTCCGGTGCTAGTCGCACAGAGAAGCAGCAGAACGAACTGACTGACGATGATGATCATGAATATCCCACTAGTCAGTCGATCATCAGCGTGCTCCTCCCCTCCCTCTCCTTCGCCTCCATTCCCTCCCCGCACTAACTTCTACCCACTACGTATTCCTCAATGTGAATTTAGCAATTTAACAGCTTCAGAATCCGTCCGAACTTCCCAAGAGACTAATGAGTGGTAACCCTGCGATACCCGCCCACTAACCCCTCTACTTCCCAAAAACTCCCAACAATCACTCGCGATGATGTAAATTGGTCTTGAACATTTCCTTGGTCTCCGGTTCGAGCAAACAATGTCCACTTTATTCCACCGATCGACGGACATATCAAGGCCGGTACCTCGTGCCCGTGCGCCCCTCTCCCACGCCCACCCCGCGCGTCTACATTGTATGAGTAGGTTTGGCTAGGAAACCTGGTGAGGGCAGGAACCCTACCGTACGTACGGCTTGCCTGGCTGAACTCTGGTAGGCGATAATCTGCCATGACGACGGCACGTGGGCATCGGGCACTGTACATGCGCCGTCAGAATCTATGCTGACTGGCTGGCTGGCTGGCTAGCTGCTTGCTTCCCCCCTCCATCAGAAGAGGGGTGGGTGGGTGGTTTGCCATCCATCTATTGTCGTCAATACTTGTGTAGAAAGGGAATCTTATTGATTCACAGCCTGACCCAAAAAAAATCTCTCATAGTTGCATGAATTATAACTTTGTTGGTTCAAAAAGGCCACTGTGCGCTGACTACACAGTTCATCGCCGCGAGCTTAAATGTCAGCTTTTGGGTAGTGGCTGACAGACCCAAGGTTGGAGGCTGATTCCAGCCGCAGGATGTCACAAAGATGAGCGGTCTCCATAGGCCTTCATCGGCCCCTTCGTTGCATTCAATGCATTGCAGCTTCTTGCAGTCTATGGTTTCTATTGAATCTGCTTTAAATGAAGTATAAGATTCGTCCACTAAGTGTACTCGGATCACGACACTTACTCATACAAGACCTGTCATGTAATGTTAGGTAAAAATAGAAGGGCAATAGTTCAGGGGCGGATTTGCATACTACAAGAGAGTAAGACATGTCAATCATCATTCAAACTGGACCGACCCTCACGCTAGACTGATACATCCCTCGGCTTGAGATCTATATCAACAAGAGACTACCCATACGGCATGCGTCTGTGACATGCGCTTCCCCTTCATACCTACTGCAAAAAGGGGCAGGTCTGATGCTCACCGACAAAGACATGTATGTCTTGCAATGCCTTCTGTTGCAATGAGTTTTAAATTTAGTTTAAGATAGGTAGAATGTCCCTAAGGAACTCAAATGTCACAAGTCTTCCGGAGGTTCCTTGTAGGCTGTTGGTTGTTTCATCTCCATCAGCCTCTCAGTTTACGACCAATTCACCTTTCATGTCGTGTTGAGATACATATTCTTAAAGCGAACGCTGGTGTGGTAAGGAGATCGCGTAGGATAGAGATTATCCCTTACGTTTAAAAATAGTTGTGTTTTGAGAATTTAGTGGCTATTGACAAGGTAGCATGGAACAATCACTCAATCAACTCACTATATAAGCACATATGTACAGTAACTGTTTGTCGGCCAGCAGCTCAACAATCCCAAGCCACGGCAAGGCTAAGTTGCTGGTGCCTCATGATGTCTTATAGATCAGGCATCAAGCCCGGCTCCCGTGGCGAGCGACGTCATCTGACCGGACCGTAATCCGCTTCCGATCTTATCGGCCTCACATCCGAAAACGCACTTCTCCAACTCATTCCCACCCTTCGGAAATCAATCCGCCTCTCTCCTCTGCGGGGTTAGAGGCCTTCCCCCCTCCGATGCTGTTGACCAAGGACCAGACAGAATACTTTGCCTATCACAATACAATGCTTTAGCAGAGATAATGGACTCTGCCGTTGAAATTGTGCTTGCCGATCGGTCGTTCAGACGTGCATCCACCCGACGGGACAATCCCTCGGAATGGGCCCGGACGACTGAGCCCACCGTAACCGTCAAAAAGTAGAAGGGCTGCTTTGCTTCTCCTCAATCCAGAAACTCCTTTGCCGAAACGGCGCTTTTTCTGGCGGGCCTTGATCTACATATATCTGGTCCGTTTCCCCCCTCCCCGGAGAGCCCGCGTGGGTTTCTTCTTGCTTTCCCTTATACTGACTTGCGGAAGTACTTGCCGTCTCTAGGAAGCGCAACTCACGACATCGGTCTGAATCTCGAGGAGGTTAATCTTATATTTAGATAACGAGAGTATGGCGGCCAATTTGGAGAGCGGCGTACAATACTCGCCTGTCCGCGAGGCGGGTCGCATCTTCAACCACCTCTGCGACCAAGCCGAACGTCTCAGCTTGCCCGCGGAAGTAGCGGAGCACAGGGATGCTGTGTCATTCACGTCCATTCATGACCAGATCTATTACCCGATCCCGTTCAAAGAGACCGAGACCTTGGCTGCGTTGAAAGGTGTGGAGGGAGCAGTGGCAGGCGCAATCGCTGATCTGCGGTATGGACCATCACCCCAAGCGCGGAATGTCAAGGTGAGCCTTGAGCGGGCCACTGCATTTGGTTGTCAGGCGTACATGGCCAAGGTGGATGGATTGTCCAAGTTGGATCCGGAAGTGAAAAAGAAGCTGAAAGGTGGGCATCTTGTTTTCCCCCGAGGCGTCAGTGTTCGTGTGGCTAATTGTCCTAGACACGGACTTGCTCGCAGCCCAGTCGAACGGCTACCGTCGGATGTCGGCGAATCTGTACAAGACCAAGAACAAGGACGAATACTTCCACATCCATGGCTCACTCGAGGCTACCACGACGTTGAACATGATTGGATTGGAGGGTCAACGTCCGGATCTGACCGATTATGAGGAGATCATCAAGGTCATTGAGAGTCATGTGCAGAAATACTCGGCGGCGCAGTTAGAGGAGATGAACAAGGAGAGGAGACAGGCTGGTGTGACGGCATTCAAATACGAGGAGTTTATCAAAACCCCCCATGTACGGATTCTTGGTCCCTGGAAAAGAACATTCATGCTGACAGATATCTATTAGGGCAAACTCAACGTCCAGGAACCGGCTTGGAAGGTGACCCGTCTGAGCGGCGACCTGCCTCCCACACCATTCCCTGCTAGTCGCAGCGGTAGCAAGAGAATTCTCGAAGGCGTCAAGGTTCTGGAGCTGTGCCGTATCATTGCCGGGCCTACGGTGGCACGCATCTTATCGGAATATGGTGCCGACGTTCTGAAGATCACCAGTCCCAAGCTGTCTGATGTTCCCTTCTTCCAGGTGGACGGCAACATGGGCAAGCATGCTGCTGACTTGGATCTCAAGTCTGAGGACGGTCGGCGACAATTCGAAGAGCTTTTGGCTGACGCCGATGTTCTTGTGGACGGATACCGCCCAGGGGCTCTCGAGAAGCTGGGGTACGGACCAGACGCACTTGCCGCATTGGCTGAGAAGCGCGGCAAGGGTATTGTGGTGGTGAACGAGAACTGCTTTGGATACGAGGGTGAATGGGCTGGCCGCCCAGGCTGGCAACAGATTGCCGACTGCGTACGTTGCCTTGTTCCTTGTCTCACGTCTGACAATCATAGCTGACTTGTGTTACAGGTGAGTGGTATTGCGTGGGCACAGGGTGAATTCATGGGTCATTCGGCCCCAATGGTTCCCCCGTTCCCCATCTCCGACTACGGCACCGGGTGTATGGGAGCAATTGCAGCATTGACGGGTCTCTACCACCGCGCCAAGCAGGGCGGCTCGTACCACGGCAAAGCTTCGTTGATGCATTATGATCTGCTGCTATTTGCCGTTGGCAAGTACTCGGACGCCATCCAGGAGCAAATGCGCGCTGCGCAGCCCCCCGAGTTTTTCAAGCTGCGACACTGCGACAGCGTGGATCGCATCTCCTCGACCGTGCTGAAGATCATGCAGGCCCGATTCCCCCACCTCTACGCGGCTCCTGAACAAGCAGGAGAGGAGGCCCTCACTGAGATCTGGTACTCCAAGGCCTACGGAGGGGACATTGAGATTGTGCGGCCCATCACGGAAATCGACGGTGTGGAGAACAAGTTCATCCGAGCCAGCCGGCCTAACGGCACGGACCGGGCGAGTTGGGAGGACTTTGAGCAGCAAGAGGAGGATTTTCGGAAGGTTTAGGTTTGATCTTGGGAAGACGTCTTTGTACATATTCGGAGAAGTAGCAGCATGCATATTGTGATTCTTTTTACGGCAATCCGTCTAGTATATTTGCTTATGTGAGGATGATAGCAGCGTATTTAATACTACACCTACCATCGCAACACATCGCGCAATGATCGTAAAGCCCTTGGATTTCTCACCGAATCAGTCCGAAGTTGAACCACGGCAACTGGATAAGTTATCCGCGGACAATTCTGTTTTTCGAATTTGTTCCAAACCATCGGATGCCACCCTCTTCCCATCGGATAGCAACTTCCCCCCTCATCGGCCCGATCACTTTTCAACTTGACTACATAGTAACCTGACATCATCTCCACCACGGACTACTGTAACTAAATGATCTGAATTATAACTTGACATATGCACAAAAACCAACCTTATCTCGTCAACCAGGTCAAAACACCCACAATATCATTCTAATACCACGCCTACAGAACTTCCAACTTCCATAAAGAAAACCCAAGAACAATGCCCTACCAAATCGCCTCGCACCCGACCCTCTCCCCGCCGCGCGCCGCGGCGATGATCTCCTTCCTCGAATCCTTCTACCGCACCAGCGACACCGAATCCGCCCACGACCATTACGTCCAGAACTTCACGGACGATGCCACATTGATCATGGGGCCGAAGACGGCGAACGGACGAGATGGTAACCCCTGCCCCCCCTTGGCCCCGAACATTGACCCAGTCCCCTAATCCCCACCCTACACATCGTCATCTATACACAGAACAAGATACCAGAACCATCTTCACTTAAGACATTGATATGGACATCAAAACAACCCCGATACTGACCCGGCCCCAAAAAGAGATCCGCACCCTCCGCCACGGCCTCTGGACGCACGTCGCTGCCCGCAAACATACCCCGGAGCGAGTGTATTTCGGCGGAGAGGGCGAGCTCATGCTCTACGGGACGGTCAAGTACGTGCTGCGGAGTGATCCGGGGAATGAGGTCGAGGTGCCCTGGGCGGGGAGGGTGGTGTTTGATGACGCTGCGGCGACAGAGGAGTTGAGGATGCGGTTCTATCAGGTTTATCTGGTGGGTTGTCCCTCGCTTGATGGATTGTGGTGTGGGGGTGGGATTTGATTGGGGCTCGAGACTAACTGGCTTCGTGATTGTAGGATCCTAGTGCGCAGTCGGGGAGGAAGTAGAGGAATTGTACTGTACTGCATTTTGTTGGATTGGGTGGTTGGGATCTTTTCACCCTTCCTGGGAGCTTTGGTGGTGAAGGAAGGGGTTGGAATTGGTATGTCATGCTATAGAAGTATCCGGCGAAGCTCAAATATGAGTTTGAGTTCGAACTGATTGATTTACTGCTCAATTCGTTTTACAACCGTGTCAATAAGTGTGAAGTAAGGGGAGAGTGAGGTGTGTACATACATGCAATGCATGCAGGGAAGCGAGACAGCAACAGCGAGAAAAAAGAGCGTAGCATACGAGGTAATTGCTGCGACAGTCTGTAGTCAGTCAAGAAGCCAGCCCTGGGAAAAAAGGTTGCGCCTCCGGACCACCACCCGACGGAGTCCAGACTTGATGGTCTTTACATGGCTCGAGCGCAGACGCATGGACTATAATTGACCCAGCCTGCTATGGCATCTGGGCCGGGCTCATAAAGATCCGCCTTAGATGAATATACACTACAGCTTAATTGCATACAATTATCCCATGGCAATGTTACCTCCCGGGATAACTAGATCAGATGAAAGCATGGGAGGGAAAAGAACTCGTTCACTTGCAAATGCCCGGCATGAACAATTGAAATTCGAGGGGGAGATATATGTCGATAAAAATAAAAACCATCATTCAAAGTTCATCCTCTCTCTCTAGCTTCCCATTGTTGTCTTTGTCATCTCGAGTACCCTGCCACACGCTGATCATCTTCATCCGAAAATAGATTTTCCATGAAAAAAAGTTGGCCTGCCTTGCGCCCCTTCGAAGTCTGCCACACACACGAAGTTATACATGGTCGGACTGGTAGGGTGATAAAAGGATTGTTGAACCCCAACCCGCCTCTTCCCTTCCCCTAAGTTTCCCACTTTTCTTTTTTACCCCTCTCTCCAACACGTCGGTGAGGCGAAAAGAATCAAAAGGCGAAAAGAAGTTAGAGGAAAAGAGACAAAGGACGAGGGTAACATCAGGACTTTTTCATTATTTTAAAATCGAAATCCAGCGGGACTAATTTACTCGTCGTCCTCCTCCTCCTCGTCAACGGTGGTCTTGGCGATACGGTCAAGATCACGCTGGCCGCTCTGGGTGATGCGGCGGCCACCCTTGTCCTCATCGGTCTCGAGGACACCGATCTTCTCGAGGGACTGGAGGATCTTGCGGTCGACGGAGCCGGAGGCATCGACGTGGTGGTTGGGGCGGGAACCGCGGTTCTTGACGGAACCGTGGACCTTGCGGAGGCGGCCAACACCGACGGTCTTGCGCATGTAGATGTGACGGGCGACGGCAGCAGCGCGGACGTAGTACCTATAAAGTGGAGAAAACGGAGACTCGGTCAGATCTTCTGCTAGTGTGCGAACACGAAGAGTTGATGGAGATGGAAGAAAGTCGTACCAGTCGGCATCCTGGGGAGGGAGCTCGTTGGAAGCGGAGGTCTTGACAGTGTCAACCCATCCTAATGGCGAAAACAGGTTAGTTCTCTGATCGAAGTCGTTCGTTTCCTCGCACAGTTGCGGAAGGTATCGGTGGTGTGGTGTAGAACGAACCAGGAATGGGGAGCTTTCCCTGACGCTTCAAGAACGCAGAGTAGGCAGCGATGAACTTCTGCGCCTATATAGTCAAAGACTCGTTAGCCGACCCATTCTTATCGGTCTTCTCAAACAGCACTCATGGCAGCGAAGCCTGTCGTTGTTCGTGCAGCATTTCCGACAGATATGGCATGGCATAGGCACACTCGGGAAAACGGCGTTTGCGGCGTGATTGATTGCGAAGCTCAAATCGCAAATCGGTTTTGCTTGTGAAAATTCAAATATCGCGGAGAAATACATGGCTGCAAAGTATTGATTTCTCGTCCAATTGCGGGGGTTTCGTTCCATTCCATATCCCTGCCTTTTCCGTAGATTGTCCTGCGTGTGGTTTTCCGTAGAAACCACCGTGTTGTCTGATGTACCGCCGAATCGGTTGATTCCATGCTCCTTCGTTTGTCCTGTCGCATATCGTGTTGCAATAGTCGCTCTGTGCGTCGGTTGTGCTGCCGCTTGTGTGCAATATGCCTTTTTCTGTTCGTCTGTGCCCGTGCCATGCCATATCATGCCATCCATGCCATCCGACCGACGCCTCCCCCGTAATCATCTTTTATCATATCAAAAGGAAGCGACTTACGTCGACATCGCGAACGGTGACACCACCCATTTTTGCGACTTGTGGACCTCGAACGGGGAAATCGAAGAGGGAGCTGAAGAGAGGGACGAGGTGGGAGGATGGGTCGTCGTTGTCGTCGTTGAGGAGTCGGCAGGTTTCAAGCCTCGAAATTTCGGATTCGCACACAACATTCGCGCTCGTAGTGCCTCTCGGTTGGCTGTGGGCGCTTCGCTTAGCCTGTTCGGGACTAGCCGTACCCTAAGGGGTGAGTGCCTGAGGCCGACATATCAAATCGATTGTGACTGATTGCTACCCGCATCTTCAGGCAGTACAATATCCGTGCCTGATTTACTTCCCGCTTACTTCGTACTTCTGCCCCATTACGCCTAGCCGAACATTATCCAAACAAAACACTTTGCAATTCGTACTCGTCATTATGTCAGAGCAGGCAAACTCTATTATCATACAGTGTGAAAGAAACCGCTGTGATATACAATCGAATTATGGTAGTCTTGTCATTAATCGTCTAACCCAGTCCCTAACGCCAGTGCCAGTGCCAGTGCCCAGTCAATGCCAGTGCCAGTTGCAAATTCACATCAATTCTTCTCAGAGCGTGGGCGCTCGCTTCAGCCCAACGCAGTATCGCACGAAGAGGGTATCAATAAAGTGTTCGTGTCGAATTCCCGGAGGACGTCGTCGTTCAAACTCCTCAATCGCCGCTTGGACACTGAATCCGCGTCGTTCGATCAGGTAGCAGACGATCAAGAACCCCGTGCGATTGAATCCGTAGTGGCAGTGGACTCCAACCACTGGACGTGGGCCTTCCGGATGGTCTGATTTCTCCATCATCTCAGTAATCTCATTCTGCAGACGATCGATCAAGGCAATGAAATCTCGAACCTCATCCGGTGTGGGAGGTATCTTCGACACCGTCGGATGTTTGTGGTAGTGGATACCGCCCTTCTCCATCGATGCTGGGTTGTACACCGGATTCTCATAGCTAATGTCGACCACAGCATAGATGCGGCCACGGTACGTCTGCGAGAATAGGACCGGAGTGTGCTCCTCGTCGACTTCACGCAGCATCTTCATGGCCACGAAAGTATCATCAATGCGTTGCGAGACAGGCGTAACCTTTTTCCACTTGGCCAAATTCTTCACATCCCATTTACCGGATGTATTGAGGTATTGTAACTGCCATCCCATGCTGAGACGGTTGTCAATATGCTGGTTGAGGAAGTCTTGGATAATCCCGGCCAGTGTGCGATAAGTTGCACGGTCGTAGATCAGTGCATGAGATGCTGGCGCCGGAAGGATAACAGTCTTCACAGCACGCTGGTGCCCGGTCGCTTCGTCCGTCTTATTTGTCAACTTTTTCTCAGCAACTTGCGCCTCAATTCCAAAACTTTCCTCATGTGCCAGATGGTCGTAGGACGCGGGAGCCTTGTCATTTATTGCGGAGGCATCGGGGATCGGCGCCACGGTATCGGAGCCGTCGCCACCACTACGCCCGCTCTGCCCGAAAAATTCGAGTATCTTTTGGAGCTCAATGGGCTTGTTCACTGCATCGGCCTCGCCAGCCACAAGCAAGACAGGAATTTCGACACCTGCCCACACCGCCTCACCCGGGATACCCCCAACAGGGTTACCAGACTTGTTGTAAGTAGGAAGCGTTCCCCAAGCCATCCGCCTCCATACCGGGGTTTTGCTCTGTTTGTTGTAGCGTACCTGGAGCTCCCTCGTATCTGGATCTGCAGCCGCACCAACAAGTCTATTGACACTGCTGCTATGCAAGCCACCACGCCGATCCCAGGAACGCCAAAGGTCAAAGATCGGACCGGGAATCTGAAGTAGGCGACGAAACTTGGCAACGTCATGTGCAGGTGGAGGCGTCGCACGGGGGCAGGCAGCAACGAGACCCAGGATATGCTCCTTCAGACTAGACCCAATCCTAGAGGTGGAAGACGCCAATAGCGCAGACAGGGAGCAGCCCAAACTATGAGCGATCAAAACCACACCTTGCCCTGCATCTTTATCGCGGTGTTGCTCGATGGCTGTTGCCAGCAGCTCTGCCAGCGCCTCAACGGTATATGCATCCCAGGAATCTGGGTTGAATGACGACAATCCGCATCCTGGAAGGTCAATACCAAAGCAAGGCCCAATGTTCGACAAGCTGGTCAGAAGATGGTTGAACTGTGCCAGAGATCCACCCAGTCCATGAACAAAAACCAACAGCGGAATCGGAGTAGGCTTGGTGGGAAGCTTATCCATCTGCGGATGCGGGCGGTTGAAGGTTCTAATAGACGAATAGGTCGCAACGGATGTTGTATATGACAGATATGTCGAATGCTTCTTCAACAGACCCGGGTCCGTGTCATGCGCTGTTCCATCCAGTCAATCACCGAAGAGAGCAGCTAGGGTGTTAGTATACTCACCATTTTCATGCCTTTCATGATGCTGAGCTGCTTCCCGTTTTTCTAAAATGGTCTCATCGGAGCCGAGGCTCAGGGAGCCAGTACTATCGTAGTCTTCGTCTTCGGATGAAGTCACAGTACCAGCAGAGCGCTTAGAGTAGTCTTTGCGCAGGGAGCGGCGAAAGTGCTTCTTAGCTGGAGCTGCTCCCCAGCCCTTTCGCCGCAAAATCGAAGTCACGAAACCACATCCAACCATTGTGACAATGCAGGTAGTAAGAAGCACAATCTTTCCCCAGTTCAAAGTTCCATCATAACGAGAGATCGGAGTAAGATGAGAGAGATAAACGAAAATGCCCGAGCGAGAGAATGTCGAGTAGACCGTGTCCCATGTACGCAAAAGCGCACCACTTTCGACGATATCAGGACGGGATGTAGTAGGGAAAGTCGGTGGTACAACTGAAGAATCCATCCCCAACGAAGGCAGCCGCCTCTGCGAGGCTTCCCAGGCTTATATGGTTGATGACCAAGAGAGCTGGTTTCACCCGCTCACCGTCCTTCCAAGCCCCAACGCCCAATGCCGGGGGCTCCCTGTTGACCAGCGTCCAGACCAAGAAACGGGGTGACGAGGATCCGTTCTGGAATGCGAATCGAACCCCCCACGAGCCAGGAGTACAGCGCCTCCTTGGCAGCTAGACTGTGTTTCCGGATCGATAGTGAGGCAAAGACGCGGGCCGATCGAGGCAATCACCGTGAGATGGATCTGCGCTCCGGACCTGCGCCGGACTGAAAAGGTTGTCTGAGGTAAGGAGCGATTCGAAACCGTCGTTCTTAGTGACTACTTTAAGTGCGCCCCCAGTCGAATGCACCAATGAGGGGCTGCTACCCAACACGTTGGTCTTCTGGCTGGATTTAGGCACCCCCAGGGAATCTGACAGCTCCACCGGCCTCTTGATGGAACCAAGCAAGGAGTGGTACTCGTATATCAGGGGCTTCTGATGACGACAATATGCTCAAATCCTGGGCGACGAAACACAAACGAGGACCCGACGGGTCACATGGGACTATTCGTTGTTCCAACGGGTCGCAAGGTATCGATAGGTCTTTACGTCGCAACTGATTATTGGGAGTCGTTAGTCAATGTGCCGAAGTGAGTCCAGTGAGCTGTTACACGAGGGCGGAGGACGTATACAAGCACAGGCTGCAAGGTACCGTGGGCAGAAGTGAGGAACACACCTTGCGTAGACAGCAAAGACGACCAGAATCACAACATCATTTGCCGATTGCGATCCGAACTTTAACAAGAGGGACCAGATGCACACTAAACCGCGGAGCGAAAATCGATTCAGGAGGCAAGAGGTCCGGAAAGAAACTCAGTTTTCGGCGGAGATCAGTCTGGAAGTGCCAAACGCAAACGAGCCTGTCAGAGACTCGGAGGCAACACCGTGGAGGAGATCTGGAATTCTTGTTCGTCGCAAATTTGCCGGCGATGAATCACATCCACTCATGGCGTCACGCCGCATCCCGTGGCCTGACTAAGCATGGTCTTCGTGCCTGAGAAAAGAGGCATAAATAATGCATCGCTATGCTTGTCAATAACATCAGATTGTCAAAGAACATTTCCAACTAACTCACACAGAACTCTAGTTACGTTATGGATGTATCATTCAGATCAACCAGGCAGATGCCTATGATCAACGCCGGATGTGGGAAGCTGAGGGATCTAGAAGACGACTTGCACTGTACTACGAAAATAATGGCTTGACAGTAGACGGGGCATATCGCAATAGGTCTTCATTTGCTCTCACCGCTTACCACCAGTCAAATAGATTGCACAAGAGAAGAGAACAAGTGTCAAGTCATTTCTTTCTGTTTTAGATTTAGAAAAGATCTGTCATGGCTCCATGGGAAGCATCCCCAACAAGTCGGGCATACTTGGCCAACACACCCCGTGTGACATTGGGAGCCGGAGGCTTCCACTCCTTCAGCCGTTGCTGAAGTTCTTCGTCAGAGACATCCATGCTTATCTCGTTTGATTCCGCATTGATAGTGATGACATCGCCATCACGGACCACTGCGAGCGGTCCCCCAACGGCTGCTTCAGGTACAATATGACCTACAATAAACCCGTGACTGGCTCCGGAGTACCGCCCATCTGTAATGAGGGCCACGTTGGTGAGTTTAGCTCCCATGAGCGCAGCACTGGCTTTCAGCTGCTCTGGCATTCCTGGCCCACCCTTGGGACCTTCGTAACGAACAACAATGACAAGGTTTTCGCCGCGGGGGATTTTGCCTTGGTCCAGAGCTTCATTGAGAGAATGTTCCTTGTCGAATACCCGTGCCTTGCCGACGAAGCGAGTACCCTCTTTGCCTGTGATCTTGGCTACTGCACCTCCGGGGGCAAGGTTGCCTCGAAGGATCTGAAGGTGTCCTGTTGACTTGATAGGGTTGCTGAGAGGCCGGATAATGACCTGGCCCTCCGGCAGTGATGGGAAAGAAGCCACATTCTCGGCTAGAGTCTTGCCAGTCACCGTAGGAATATCGCCGTCGAGCAGGCCCGCTGCAATCAGTAGCTTCTGAACGGACGGGATACCTCCAATATCGTACAGGTCCGCCATGTAATACTTCCCACTTGGGGCAAGGTCGGCGATGAAGGGAATCTTGTCGCTGACTCTCTGAATGTCATCCAGGGTCAGATCCACACCGGCTGTCCGAGCCATAGCAAGGAAGTGAAGGACACCATTGGTACTTCCTCCCAAAGCCATTGTTATGACGAGGGCATTTTCAAAAGAGCGCTTTGTCAACAGATCCCTCGGTCTGATGTCTTTCTCCATGCAAATCTTGATGGCTTCCGCTGCCTTGACACATTCCCGCATTTTCGACGGAGAGGAAGCAGGCGTGGAGGAGGAACCGGGCAAGGAAAGACCCATAGACTCAATCGCTGTGGCCATCGTGTTGGCTGTGAACATGCCTCCACACGCGCCTGCGGTGGGACAGGCGTGTCTCTCAAGGTCATCCATGATCTCATCTTTGGTCTTGCTAGTGTCGCCTCCATCGTCCGGCTGACGCAAGGTGTCGTATACATAAGCACCAGCGGCCTCGAAACAGGACGACACATTGATAGGCTTCCGAAGAAGATTGGAATAGCCAATTTGAATGGTACCTCCGTAAATCATGATTGAGGGGCGATTATGTCTGGCCATTCCCATTACTACACCAGGCATATTCTTGTCACATCCTGGAATTGCAATGCAGGCGTCGTGGTACTGAGCGCATGTGACGGTCTCAACGCTGTCAGCGATCAATTCGCGGGTCTGGAGGGAGAATCTCATGCCTATTTCCCAGTCAGTAACAGTCCTATTCATGTAACCACCTGGCTGATACCCACCTTCACTACCCATAGTAATTGCGTCCGACACTCCGACTGTGTTGTACTGCCACCCGATCATACCCTGATCTGTGATTGCCTTCTTCACCGTCTTGCCCAAGTCTAGAAGATGCATATTGCACGGGTTGCCTTCCCACCATACAGAGGCAACTCCAACCTGGGGACTCTTCGTCATCGCATTATTGTCGGGAATGCCTGCCGCATAAAGCATTGCCTAGATTGAATCTGGTATAAGCGACCGAAGTCATGCAGTGAGTGAACCTGAATTAAGCTAACGCACCTTCGCACCAGGAAAGTCATGACCCTTCGTGATGGTCGAAGACCATCTGTTCAAGACAGGAGTGCCATCCTCATGCTTCGCATCAGCTGGGAGAGCTGGGAAGTCAATGTATTTGGGCTCCTGGAGATTGAAGGGGGCGCCGGTTGGCTTGGTAGGGGCCATGTTGGATCTTGTTGAAGAAAAGGTATCGGTATTGTAGAGCTTCTGGCGCGGACTCCACTAAGCCTGTTCTACCCAGAGCTGAGCGAGGCTGGTAGAGAACAGACGAAGATTTTGATGCAGAATTGTCCTTTCGTGCTCAAGGTTATGAGGGGGAGCTCCTCGATCGGAAGTGCGGCGACCCCGCCATCGGCGAAGTGTCCGATTGTGGGGGGCGGACAACATCCGCGGCACTCTAGCGGTAATCGGAATAAATCTCATTGTGATTTGAAGACAGCTTCGACTTAGTGGGTCCACCCATGTAGTCGCTTGGGTTGGTAGTCTAAGGTGCAAAGCATGAGTGCTTCCAAGTTGTCATGGCAAAGACAACTTTTGTAGTCCAATAAGATTTCTTTTTATGGGAACTGTTTCTTTTCCCTGCAAAGCATATTTATGCTTGGTGACAGGGGTCCCGTATTATTACATGTGTTTGGAGCTTGGAGCCTGACGTCTGTTCAGGTCGCTGCGGCAAGATTGGATCCTAAAAACTGCTGGGTATCTTTAAATCGTAGTCAAGCCAATATCCTAAATTACGTCATCAATGTATGAGACTCAACAGGGTGAGAAGATCGCATTGTAGTCAGAGATGTGGCAGGACTCGGCAAATCATACCTCACCGAAAACCACTCGTTTCGTGCTTTTTGATTAGTTGTTGTCCTGATTTTCCATAGAACCCTTGTCAATTGTAGACCAGTGGTCAGACTCATGCATCCCTTCATCTGTTGCTGAATCCGGCGATGCGGTCGTCCTGTCCGCGTGCTGCTCTGACTCCTCCCCCCCGTGGGTGCTGTCCGTGTCTGCAAGGCCATCCATAGCGAACCCCACAATTTTTCCTGAGCTTGATTGGGGACTAGCGTCTTCTAGCACATCGCCATTCCAAGGCTTGCACTTTTTGACAACCTCACCACATCGGAGGCAGATCCAGCCTTCTCCTTCCTCGGCTTCCAGCTTCTGTACGATGCATACAAAGCAATATATACAACCACAAGGAACTGCCTCATACGGGTTGGCGATGTCAGTCTGAGCAGATCCAATGATCCCTCCAGATGACGCCGAGGCTGCAATGGCGTCACTTTCTGTTGCGGCGGCAGGATTGTTCTCCTTGTAACAGATCGCACACGTTCGTTCTGGAAGGAATGCAAGCTCTCCTTGTTTGCCGTCGACCTCGTCATCTTCATTACTTGATTTGAGTGCAGATAATACTTTCTTCCACAGTCTAGAGAGCCAGCGGCGCCATCGGCTTATGCCAACAAGTGGCAAGAGAAACAGGAGAAACTCCGTGAATGCGTGCCAAACCAGCTGGCGATTCAGATATTCGAAGGACACCTCGCGGCTTGCTTGTGCAGACGGCGGCATCAAGCGTATGCGGAGAATGCGGTCAACCAGTGTCCTGTACCGGCCGTTGACCAGGAATACCAAGAACGAGGTGAATGCGGCGATTGAGTGAGTGGCGGAGACGAGGTCGGTCATTCGCGATAGCATTCGTACTCCTTGTGATGGCTGAAACCATGAGTCAAGTTCAGGATGGGTTTCGAAGGAGGGACTCTGACATACCTCGTCGTAGCCACTTTCTTGGCTTATTAACCAACTTTCCCACTTGCCCCAAGCATAGCGACCGCCAACGGTGAGGAGGCCATGTAGAGATTTCTGCCACTTGGTGGGAGCCGAATGAACAGGCCCTTTGCTTCGACTATCAATGTATCTCAGATTCTGTAACGCCGCGCCGTATGAGGCATCATGATCCCAGATCGAAAGCTTGAACAGGGCCGCACGAAGAGCGAATTGGATCTCGTGGGACCAATCTTCACGCATTTGAGGCTATCGGGAGTAACGATTAGCGCATATCGACTAAGTGTACACAGGTAGTTGGGAAACGAACACCGTAGTACTTCAATGCATCTCCAACTTGTCCTTTGAGCAACCCTAGCAGCTCCTCATCCAGCAATTCGGCGTCCACCTGACCGACGCGATAAGCTGGTCTTAGTCCTTCGCGGCCCCTTATAGCATTCCATATGGAGATTCCCGACGAAGGTAGTTTGTTGAGAGGATATGGGAGATTTTGAAGAGCGGCGTGATTGAAAGGGTGGGATTGTTGCTGTTCAGCAAGCCTGGAGCGAGCCTCGGCCTCGCGGAGACGACGACGTTCGAGAACCCGCTCTTGAGCAGCGGCGAAGTTTGTAGAACTCATCGCAGGATCATTGTTGGGTTGACTTGGTTTTATCTGTAAAAAAATAGACAGGTCTCGTAATATCGTGTCGATAATCTTGCAATATCCAGGCAAGACCTGAATGTCGTATCGGAGGTGATCATGCTAGCGAGGCTGATTGCTCGTTCGCTCGGCACCCCCGACCGGAAGGGAAACTGCCGAGGTTGGACACGATACACGTGACATCAATGGAAAGATAAGCAAATGTCCTCGGCTCTGTCAATTCAACAAGAGTACTGCAAATACATAGCCAACAAATATTCATCCATCTTCCTTGACTGAAATAAAGTCGCGTGAATTCAGCGCTATGAGGATCCGGAGTCTCTCAACATCTACGTTCGTTGACTCAGTCACACTGAAATGCACCCTACGGCGAAAACAGTGTGTGTATAAGTATACAATGCATCAGGGATCAGATGCAAGTTGGCAGGTGGGGTTGAAGTTTCGCAAAGGTGATATCAGAAAAAGCCCCCTCAAGATGACATTGTTTTCGATCTTGTTGATATCTACAATACCCTCTCCTTCGCCGTAGAGCCCTTATCCAGCCGCACGGCATGGAAATCGATATGCATGCAGCTGTCCGATAAGTGCAATGAATGTACGGGGTATCTTCCCAACCAAATTGAGAGATTAACTCGTCGGACTTAACTGTGATGGTGCCGAGCCCACTCAATGCTACGCTGAGAGGTCAAGACTATGCATGTCATTCGTCCAGATTGCGAGGTTGTGATTCTCGACCGAAATTGACATAGAATTTGCACTCTTTTGCATTTCATCAAATAAGGCTGCCCTGGGCGTCGAAGGTGAAAAATGTGCTAGACTGGCCGAGGGGAATGTGCCCGAAATGTGACTTTCGATCTTGAAAGCCCACTACTTGAGATATCCAGGTATTACCGCTTTGTAAATGAAATAAAATGGCTCAGAGTCATCGCAACTGTTCACCTGAAAGAGTGAGGAGTACAATGCCTTGAATTGGCGCGGATGGTCGAAAGGTAGGAGCTCAGCCTAGAGCCCGGCTTGGAGATGCAGCCAACCTTGTAGCCAAGATCTTATTCCGAAGCTGACTTACGAGACCTGAAATTCTGATCACATCTGACTTTCAGTGTTAGGTACAGTACCTACTCTACTTACATTATTAGCAAAGGTGGTTGGTCAATCTTCGGCCCATGGTCAGATGTTGGAAGAAACTTGACTCAGAGCTGGAGAAAAATATGGTGCAAGTGACCCTGTGAGCACCTTAGGTAGTCTAACATCCCAGAAGGTGCAGTAATAGAAGCGGGCGGGATGCAGCTATACTAGGTGCAGTGTTCTGCTGCCCTGCATTCAAGGGTCCTCACAGAGCCAGCGACAGGCGCACGTGCTGCGGAAGCCTGCCAGTTGTTACCAGTTGTTACCCCACTGATAGGGGCTCACCAGAACCGATCGGGGATTAGCCCGTGGGGCAAACCCAGTTGGCCCTATACAATCCGAGCATAATCTCAGGTGTGCCCTTCTCCATCTTCGAGGAACGTGGTCAAGGGATTTGGAACTCCATGTTCATTACCCACTTCGGCTGTTCTGGAAACGAGAAAGGTGCAGCGAGATCTAACGATGTCACCTCAGCTGCCGATTAGACCAGGATTGAACAAGAATAGGGCCAGACTGCAAATTGTCGAATAGAAGGTCTTCTTTGATCCGCGTGGTCCATTTCAGCTTCAACGTGCAGTACGGTCCCTGGCCGACTATCCCCTCTGTGGAACCTCATCCTTTGGATCAAGTCACTAGCTCGTGGTCAGGGCACATGGTCTCGCGTGGCTTGGAGTCATGCACTTCTTCTCTCTTTTCAAAGTCTATAAATATGCGACTGGAAGTCCTTCCCCAATGATTTAACTGAGCGCTGATCATTCTCTCATCTACCATCCTTTCCTTGGTGATTGTCAAGATAGTTCTGTCTTGGAAGAAATCAAGTCACAATGAAGTCTTCCGCCGTCACTCTGCTTGCAGCCGCTTCCGTGGCGTACGCCCAGCTCGCCAATGTCTCTGAGCCTTCTCTAACGGAGATCGAGAAGGCCGCAGCCACAATTGAGCCATACTCTCCCGTTTCCAATGTCGAAGGTCTTGTCTTCAACCGCTTCTATCAAATCTGGCTTGAGAACATTGTATGGACCTGATGCATTCCTATCATCACGAATTCTGCTGACATCATGGGAAGGACTACGAGGATGCTGCTGCGGACGAGAATCTGCAATGGCTGGCTTCGCAGGGTATCACACTGTGAGTGACTTCCGCAAACAATTAGAAGAACGGGAAGTTTTATCATTAACACGGCGCTCTACATAGGACCAATTTCTACGCAGTCACCCATCCTTCCGAGCCAAATTACTGTGCCTCGGCCTCTGGCGATACCTTTGGCATGGACAACGATGATTTCCAGCAAATTCCGGCCAATGTCTCGACAGTCGCTGATTTGCTGGACACCAAGAACATTGCTTGGGGTGAATATCAGGAGCACCTCCCTTATCCTGGCTTCCAAGGGTATAATTACTCTAATCAAGCCACCTATGCCAATGACTACGTGCGAAAGCACAACCCATTGATTCTGTTCGACTCGATTGCCCAGAACAGCACTCGCTTGCGTCAGATCAAGAACTTCACCAGCTTTGAAGACGACTTGGCCAACAAGAAGCTTCCTCAGTGGGCTTTTATCACTCCCAACATGACTAACGATGCTCACGACACAAATATCACCTTTGCTGCTAAATGGGAGCGCAGCTGGGTGCCTCCGTTGCTCAACAACTCCTACTTCATGAACGATACCTTGTTGCTTCTCACCTTTGATGAGGACAAGACCTACCCCAAGGGAAACAAAATCTTCAGTATTTTGTTGGGTGGTGTGATTCCCGACAACCTCAAGGGCACTAAGGACGACACCTTCTACACCCACTACTCCGTCATTGCGTCCGTCTCGGCCAACTGGGGATTGCCTTCTCTTGGGCGCTGGGACTGTGGCGCCAACATCCTCGAAATTGTGGCTAACAAGACCGGTTACGTCAACTACGATGTTGACACCACTAATCTCCACCTTAACGAGACCTACCCTGGACCGCTCTCTGATAATGATTACTCGGAGTACTCTTCTGCGTGGCCAGTCCCTTTGACTAATGGCACTTGCTCGGCCGGCCATGGCATTCTTGACATTGTGAAGAAGAACTTTGCCAACACTGAGCCTACTTACAACTACACCAGCCCTTTCCCGTACGACACTAAATCCAAGTATAATGTCGACGTCACTGCCACCAGGAAGCAGAACAGTTCCAACTCCTCTTCCTCTTCTTCTGCTTCATCATCTGCTATCGCCAATACTGGTAGCTCCATGATGTTGCCTGGAGTTGCCACTCTTTCGAGTGCCGTTGCGGCTCTGCTGATGAGCATTCTGTGAGTGAGGTGCAATTCACTTGGGTTGGATCGTGATGTAGAGAACTATGTGGTTCATTATTACGCATAAAAAGGGTGGATCAGGGTGAGCGTTTAATGTACGTTATGAATGGGAATAATGAGACATAACAATGGTAATGATCAATGCTCCAATTCCTCAAAATAGAAAATCGAGCTCTTCAGGAATGGGAGCTTACTCAAGAGCAGCTTAGTTTGAGCTCCTGATGCGCTGTGTATGTGCAACAATGTTCTCTTCGCTACTTAGCTATCTTTGTATAGTTTGTCTTCCGAACTGGATGAATAGGTAGTAATATCGAATATCATTGTCCTACTTTGGATGCCGTGGCCAGTGCACTTAGACCTAGGTTGTACTTGGGCCTAGGTAGTAAGGTGCGATTTCTGCTTCGGTGTTGAGGTCCACGTGCAGAATCATTCATTATCGTCCGAACTCACAGTCTTCTGTCATCTTCTACATGTTCAGTGTGCACTGAGCGCCACTAAGCTTCCCACTATGGCCTATGCAAAACTTCATTTATCGAGCCTGTGAGGCTGCAAGAACCTAACCATAGTATCTCGTTGCAATTTGCTAAGTTATTGAATTAATTCACTTCGAGCAAAGTTGCGCAGATCAGTCTAGGATGAGTTCAGACCAGAGGAAGGAAGAGCGAGCAGCCAAGACCATTCTTGTCTCAGCCTGTCTTGACCAGAATGTACTTAGTCTCCAAATAGCTATTCATGCTATGCAGATAACCCTCACGACCGATAAAACTGCTTTTTCAGCCTCCAAATGGCATATCTTTCGCCATGGAGGGACTTGTGCAGTTAATGCCAACAGTCCCGGCTTCGAGCAATTTCGATACCCGCATAGCCCGGTCGATACTTTTGATGAAGACGGGTGCATACAAGCCGAATTCACTATTGTTGGTTTTTGAAATGGCCGGATCTTCTTTTCCGAATGTATTGATCACTACCACAGGACCGAAAACTTCCTCTTTCATGATCTGCGACTCCTTCGACACCTCCTCGAACACAATGGGCCTGATGAAGTTTCCATCCTTCGCAGCACCGCCAAGTGTCAACCTACCCTTATTCTCTCCCAAAGAAAGGTATGCTTTGATCCGCTCATACTGAATTCTAACAGCTTGCGGTCCTTGATCCGTTGCTTTATTCAAGGGGTTTCCAAGTATAGCAGCGCCAAATTTGTCCTTGAAAATCGCAAGGAACTTGTCAACTACAGTCTCTTATACGTAAATGCGTGAATTGGCGATACAGGTTTGTCCACTGAAGAATTTGGACACTGAATTAAGTCTGCTCAGCTGCAGATTCCAGGTCGGCATCCTCGAAGGTAAGGGCAGGGGTCTTCCCCCCAGCTCGATGTGTACGGATTTAATATTAGACTTGGCCGCAGCGGCTTGAATTTTCCGTCCTGTCAAGCTAGATCCGGTGAAGCTGATACAGCGAACGTCCATGTGTGAGGCTATCGCGTTGCCGGTGGTCGGGCCATATCCATGGAGTATATTCACAACACCGGTGGGAATTCAGTCTTAGAAATCAGCTTGGCTGCCACGACCCCGTACGGTTCTTTCACCGTGCGGTGGCCGGGCGTATTTCTACTGGATGACCCTTGAACAGTCCATACAGCCTCCGCAAGATAATTGAACGTCTCGATGGCTATACTGGAATCGATGTAACGAGACACCGGCTTCCCGGTAGACAAAGCTTCCAAGTGCGCAAACTCTTCCCCATGATCCTGAATAAGTGATGCCATCTTTCGCAGGAAGACACCTCTGTCTGTCGGGGAGACATCCCTCCATGCTGGGAATGCGGCCCTGGCCGCAGCAACAGCAGCATCTACGTCTACCCCATTGGTTTCACAGACTGGAAAGCATTCATGTCGTGTTAGACGTTGCGTTCCTTCGGTATAACCCCATCATCCTACTTACTCTCTGCAACTTTCTCATTGGTATAAGGGCTGGTTAACTCGAAGAACTTTTCATTTGATGATGGCACAAGCTGTTGAGAATAATATCAGCTTGCAGATTTTATTTTTATTATAAGATGTTAGGCCGAACCTTGCCATTGATGAACAGATCTTTCAGTCGGCTACTCTGTAGCGCCAGTCATGTTGCGATAATAAATAACACAATATTTGATGCCAGAACATGATAGAGAGCACTTTCCGGCATCAGACATCGTGCAATTTCCTGTTCTCTTATACTTACCATTGCAACAAAAGGTAAAGTGGGGTTTCTTAGGTGAGAATCACATTCACAACAGATGTAGGGAACGGAAGAACTGACCCAGCCTAGGTAAACACTGACAAGTCAGTCATGAATTTGACCCAGCTTTCTAACCCTTTGTGGCGCTCCAGCTTGAACTTTACTTCCTTCTCTCATGTTACCGGTTGCAGCCAGTATTCAGTATCCACGGAGGACTACAATCAAGCAGACGAGGGTTGTTATAATTGATAGAATCTCCACATGCCTCATGATTTATTCGTTACAGGTATGGTACATTAGATGATTTATTCAGCAAGGCCAGCACGCTTCAAATCCTGAATGTCCAGAGTGTCTTGGTCGCCAGGACGACGCTCCGAGTCGAGCTTCACCTTATCCTCAGGACCGCCAGGGCCCTCAAATGCTTCAGCCGGTGCAAGACTATAACGGGCATAATATTAGCTTTCATGTGAAGGATGTGAGAAGAAGGGAAGTCTAGCTTACCGGCCACGGTCGTCACGGCTGCCACCCTCATCTTCAGGGATGGGTTTGCGGTTGCTTCCAGTGGCAAGAGCCTCTCGGCCGGTTCTAACGCCAGTCTCGAACTTTCTCTCGACCATCTCATCGATTCCGGATTCCAATGCTTTGGTAATCAGCAATGGGCAATGAGGCGCGGTTGGGTGAAGAAACGGTTCACATACTGGAGTCACTCTTCTTACCAAGGCCCTGCTTAGCCTGGTAGGAGTTCAAATCATTCTCGGCGTCGAAAGCCACGCGAACCTTGTCGTAGTCGTTCATTTTGATGTAAAGCTGATGGTATAGGTATGTTCAATAAAAGGGATTTAGTGGTTGTTGCACTTAAGAGTTGAGCTGGGAGTTCGAGGTTATGGATATGATTAGGACAAGCCAGCATTTTCATGACTTATGTAGGTCCTCTTGGACACATCTCTGATGAAGAGTGTGAAAAGGATTGCATCATAAGACATCATAGGTATGTAACGGTGCTTTGCCTTCGATTCTAGATCTATGTGTATTGGTCGCCTACGTAGCAAGTACGAGTAGGTACTAACTATATGATATCATGCGATCCCAAGCCCTAAGAAGCTTACATCTCCATTGAGCCTAGCGCTCAGGGTCCGACCCTAGGGCTACTCGGAGCGCAACAACTATAGACCGGGGTGTCCCGCCGAGGCGGGGACGAAAGATTGCTAGCAGTCGAATCAATGAATCAGGCAGGTGACCGGCCCTGAAGCTTCTCTGCTGCTTGTTGCTCCTTGTCATTGTTAACAATACACCTCACATTCCTTCTCCCCCCCCGTCCCCCGCAGTCCCAGTCTTCTTGTAATCTTACAGGACAGGACTTCAGGACTCAACCGTACCTGCATCACTTGCTTCATCGAGTCGTTGGGGTTCCTGTCTTGGCCGCCTTCCATCTCGCGTGTAATTAAGTTTCCGAGTACCCCTCAAGCTGCGCAATACGACGCGTGCGATACACCACCGTCGACTAGTCGGTTCTATACCCGACGACATAGCATCTCACGCACAACATGGCTTCGATCATCGAGTTGGCAGGGGAAGCCAACCCGCTGACACCGCATAATGTTCTCAATGCACTCATCTTAGCGGCGAGCTCAACCCAACAGCGGGTGCAAACGGGTACCCAACAACTCCAGAATTGGGAGAAACAGGAGATGTACTACACATACCTTCAGGTAAGCTTCTCCCACGGACTCGGCTGCCACAATAAATTCTGATCTCCGCAGGACGTATTCCTAGATCAGTCCGTCCCATCGGAAGTTCGATACCTTGCCATCATCCAGTTGAAGAACGGCATCGACAAGTATTGGCGAAAGACCGCTACTAAGTAGGCTTGCCTGAGCTCTTTGGCTTCATATACAGGGACTGACATACTCGCAAAGTGCCATCAAAAAGGAGGAGAAGGAACAGATCAAGCTCAGGGCACTCCAAGCTGGTGTCGTGGAACCTGCCCCTCTACTCGCCCTTCACAATGCCTTGATGCTGGCTAAGATAATGCGCTACGAGTTTCCTCAAGACTGGTATGTGATCTCGCATCACTGCGCTGGGCTTGTTGCCGTTAGCTGATTGTTCTCGCAGGCCTGACGCAATCTCCTCGATTATCGCCTTCCTCCGCTCCTCCACCCAGCCTGGCGCGAACCCGTTACAATTACCCCGGACCCTTATCATTTTACTGCAGATTATCAAAGAGCTATCAACAGCTCGCTTACAAAGGACTCGTGCCAACCTTCAGTCCGTGGCACCCGAGGTCTTCCATCTGCTTGGTGGCATATATGTGGATAAGGTGAACACCTGGGTACCTTGGCTGGAGCAAGGAGGAGCTGATGAGACAGCATTGCTGGGGATGATGGAACAAAGCCTTGTGTCTCTGAAGGTTATCCGACGCCTGGTAATTGCCGGTTTTGAGCATCCTAACCGGGATAAGGACGTTCGCGAGTTCTGGGTCCTCACTCATGCCCACTTCAGCAGATTTCTGAACTTCGTCAATGGCCCTGCAGCCATTTCAGATCCGTTTAAAAGGGCAGTCGAAAAGCATCTTTTACAACTCTCTAAGCTCCATGTGGAAATGGCCAAGGACCGACCGGCCTCTTTTGCATTGCTACCCGACAGCATTCGTCTTGTTCAAGCCTATTGGACTCTGGTCACTCAGCTCGGCGAACACTACAGCGAGCTCGGAGCTGACGGAGAATCAGAGGGCAAGTCTCTAATGGAAAAAACAGGGCTGAGAGCGCTCCTTCTGATCAGAGCTTGTTCGAAAATGGCATTCAACCCTGCGCAGACATTCAAGTACCAAACTGCAGAGGACAAGGAAGAGAAGAAGCAATCTGTTGAACTCATCAAAGCCGAACTTTTCACGCACGACTTCGTCGTTAGTGTTATGGAACTCTTGGTTACCCAATTCTTTCGATTCAGAAAGAACGATTTTCAAGAATGGGAAGAAGACCCAGAAGAATGGGAGAGAAAAGAAGAGGACATCGCCGAGGCATGGGAGTTTTCCATACGGTCTTGCTCGGAAAAGCTCTTCCTTGACCTTGTCATTCACTTCAAGGAACTGCTCATCCCCCGTCTGCTGCACGTCTTCTATGGCTTCGCAAGTAAGCAGTCCAAACTGAGTTCTGCCACCAGTTCTATATTGACAATATTTTATAGGCCCCGACAACCACGACGTGCTGTTGAAGGATTCGCTTTACTCGGCCATTGGATTATCTGCAGCTAGTCTAGAACAGCACCTGGACTTCAACAAATTCCTCGAGGCCACACTCGTGCCGGAAGTTCAACTTCAAGAGCAAGGCTATAATCTTCTTCGAAGAAGGATCGCTATTCTCCTGGGCCAGTGGGTTCCAGTCAAGGCGAGCGAGCTCAACCGAAATGCCGTGTATCAAGTATTTCAGCATTTGCTCAGTCGGAAAGACCCGTTGAATGACCTGGTTGTACGCATCAGTGCTGGTAGACAGCTGAAGAACGTGCTCGACCCTTTTGAGTTCTCACCGACTGAATTCTTGCCATATGCTCCTTCCATTCTCCAAGACCTGATGTCTCTTGTTCAAGAAGTGGAGCTCTCAGAGACTAGGATGGGCCTACTCGATACTGTTCGTATGGCTGTGGTCAAGATGGAAGATCATGTAAGTGCATCAACAAGTTCAAGTAATTAGCAATCGATTCTGACCTCGCTTAGATTGCTCCCTTCTCGGACCAAATTCTGTCTTTGCTGCCACCTCTTTGGGAAAGCTCTGGAGAAGAACACCTGATGAAGCAAGCCATCCTCACTCTTCTCTCGTCCCTCATCCATTCTCTCAAGCAAGACTCAGTTCGATACCACTCAATCATCTTGCCTCTAATCCAGAACTCTGTCGAGCCAGGCTCTGTAAGCTTCAAATCCCACTGAACCAGTTTTCCAATTCTCATGATCATACAGGAGACCCTCATTTACCTGCTCGACGAAGCTCTCGACCTCTGGTCTGCGATCCTTATGCAAACACCCTCCCCGGCTTCTCCAGAGATCTTGTCCCTCATTCCAGCCCTTATGCCCATTATGGAGGCAGCCACGGATAGCGCCCCACAAGCCCTTCAAATTGTTGAATCCTACATTATTCTCGCCCCTCAGGAGATTCTCAGCGATCGGATTCGCTTCCCACTACTCGTCTCCCTTGAGACACTCCTGAAGATCACCACTCGCCAGCGGCTGGGCGTCGTACCCCGTCTCGTGGAATTGATGCTTCGTGGCGCCGAAGCGGTAGATGGCGGTAGCGAGAGCACCTACAACGTGATCACCCGTTCCCTCCTCGACAGTTCCTTCCTTCCTGCCCTTTTGGAGGGACTCCACTCTGCCTACGAAGCCAGTCAAACCACGGGACCCAACCGCAAACAGACCTCCGTCTATGGAGTTGTGGAGACGGACTATTTCTCTGTCCTTGCACGCCTCGCCGTGGCCCACCCCAAGATCTTTACTTCCGCCGTGGCCTCTGCCACCAACACTTCTGAGGAGCAAGCTCTCGCCTGGATCTTGACGGAGTGGTTTCTCCACTACGACAACATCGGTAGCAGCACCCAGAAGAAACTGCACGCCCTCGCTCTCACCCAACTGCTCACCCTGAATGGACCCGATTCCCAGCCTCCGACTTATCTCCTCAACAACCTCCAGTCCTACATGACTATGTGGACCGACATCGTGACCGAGCTCTCCGAAGACGCCGGTGGCACAAACCCCGACGACCCGCGCGGCGGCGACTACCTCATCTACTGGAACAACGCCCAAACGGCCGCCGGCGACGAGCACGAACCGCCGGAGAATGAGCGTCGTCGCGCCTGGGATGAAATGGACATCCTGCACAAGGTCAACATCCGGGAGTTCATCCGGGAGCGTCTCCGTTCCGTCATCGTCGCCTGCGGAGGCGAGCAGCGCTTCCAGGAGGATTGGCTGCTGAACGTTGACCGGGAGGTGGTTGCGGCTTTCGGGGCTCTGGGCTTGCTCTGAAAGACCTAGGGGAGCGCGCCCGTTCGGATCCACTAATTCCCTTTCGTACATTTTTCCGACCTTTTCACACTTCTGATGATCATGTGTTGCCCTGCATATGCCTGCCGTTTGTTGCATCGTATCTATGCATCCCATCTACCATGCTTGCTCGTCATTCTTCCGACAAAGATTCATTTCCCCGCCAGTTCTCTTACATGGACAGACTGTTTTTTCCTCTCTCTCTCTCGTCATTTTCTTTTTCATCTTCCCCGTGTCTCTGTTGACGATAACTGTTACCGAAATACCCCATACATATAGATAAGTTCATGGTTCGAATGAATGGATAGTCAGTTAAGTTCTTTTGAGGTCGCGTACTCCGTCTGCCCATTGAATTATGGATTAATCATGGAAGAAGGTGCTAGGCGTGCCAGGAGGTGACGTAAGCCATGTACGGAAGGGCTTATTTGCTATCGATCCACCATCGCGTAGCTTGCTGAATAAAAAGGGTTTTGGATCGTTAGGTAAGGCCTGTCACGCATCATGAATGGTCTCTTCGACGCCCAACAAGGAAGGAACGACGAAAGAAGGAAGCCTGGGAGCCTGTAAGCCTAAGGCAGGGAAGGGAGCAGTCCCCCGGACATGTTCAACAATCAAACAGAACATAAACCAACCGGGTGGCAACTGGCTCCATGCAACAGGATACCAGACAGATATTATGTGGAAAGCACCGGTCAAAGGTAAAGTTACTGAATAAATGCCAAAAATTTCATTCTCATGTCATATGTAACAAAGATAAATGGCACAGTGCGCCCAATGGCTCAAGAACAAATGCAGATGGAATAGAATCGAAGAGATGAACAAACTGGAGAAGAAAATTAAACACAGAAGAAGTACAAAGTTAAGAGCATTGTCCGGGGTACTGTCTATCGGACAAGGGACTCGGGAACAAGCCCTCGGCCAGAAGATCTTGCAGATCCCAGCCGGGGGCGCCCTCGGTCTTCCAGGTCCAGAAGACCCAGCCGGTCTTCTTCTCGAAGGCGTCGAGCTGGGCCTCGATGAAGCGGCGAGTGTTGGTGCGCTCGTCGGCGGAGAGGCCGGCGGCGGTGCCGGTGCTGTGGCTGGCGCAGCTGCCAATGGCGCCGCTGGAGCCGTAGGTGCCGTCGTAGCGGGCGCCGACGCCCTTCCCGTTCAGATACTTGGCGCAGTCGGTGAGGGCGCCGGTCCACTCGCCGACGAAGGCGGGTTTGTCGGTGGTGACCAGGTGCTGGTTGGCGAAGGCGCAGGCGGTCTGGACGTGCGTGTTGATGTCCATCGCCAGCAGACCGTTGTCGAAGACCTGGTAGTTGTGGGTGTCCATCACGGCGTTGGAGGACTGCATGAAGCCGTTCCACGAGTCCACGGAGAGGAAGCCGTCGTGCAGGACGAGAGCGGTGTCCGGGTTCAGGCTCTGCACCGTCGCCAGGGTGCTGTAGTAGTACTGCTTGAGCCCGTCCTGGTTAACCCCGCCGGGAACGCTGGGCTCGTTGAGCGCTTGGATAGCCGTGACGACATCGGAGTACTGGAGATAGCGTTTGGCGAGTTCATTGAAGGCGACCAGGGTTTGATTCACCGTCGACCCTTGCTGCCACTGGATGGGGCCCTTGCGGCCACTGTTGTCGAACCCGTTCTGGGATCCCGGTGCTAAGATGATAACCCTGGGTCAGCATCAATTGTGGCCTCCGAAACCTGGCGCAAGGGGGTGTGTAGTAATAATGTGGGGAAAAGGAAGCCTACCGCCGTGTAGATCGAGAATGACCTTAAGGTTGGCACTTCGTGCCCAGGTGATGGCTTGATCAAGGTATTCCAGTTGACCATAGACGTAGGGTTCGCCTTCAATAGGCGCAAGGGCCCAGTAGCCGATTGGAATCCGGACGTGGTTGAGACCGGCCTGGGCGATTCGGTTGAAGTCATCCTGTGTGATAAACGAGCTCCAGTGAGCAGAAAGACGGGACTGGGCTTCAGTTTTGCCCAGTGTCTGGGTCAAGGTCCATTCGTCGACAGCTGCATCACCTGCATTATCGTAGATTGAAGGTGTGATCCAGGGCTCGGTCACCAGCCAGCCACCGAGGTTGACGCCATAGATCTTTTGGCTCTTGTAGTCGAATGCACTCGCACGGTTTTCCAAGCGCCTTCATGTGCGTATTAGTCGAAAACAAACAGATCAACAAGGAGTAGCAGGAGTACGAACACTGCAGCGGCATCGGTGCCCACGGCGACGAGACCAAGCGCCAGAAGCGCGTTTTGCATGCGTTTACCCAACATACTGCGAACACACGAAGATTGCTTTTTTCAATGAGTATTTAGGAGGCTGGGTTGCGAAGAGGAATCCTGGCTGCGATCTGCATTGAACAGGAATGGAATTCAGATGGTTTAAGTAAAGAAGACCTGAAGACGCAGGAAGTCAGACGACCGCAAACAGAGGAACGCCCCGAATTCAGAGCGGGGATCTTGAAGCGATCTGCACAGATCGCAATAAGGACTGCGTTCAGAGGATTGGCCTAGCGGCCAGACCACTTGTCGATGTCTTGGAGCTGGCTGTAGATACGGAGACGCCGAATGCAGTCAGGCAAAGTAGGTTCGTATAAGCGAGGCTGATCGCTAGATGATCTAGAGCGATAGTCCTCGGTTCACATTCTCCAGCGATTGAGGACGCAGACGGAACTATACAGGACGACAAGGAACGAAAAAGGAGAATAGTCTTTAAATAAACCTAGTGTAAAGTTTTGTTTTCTCGGCTTTTCTTGGGGGCTCAGATCGATCACGATGTTACAGGGCGCGCCACAGGGTGACAGGTTTAGGGTCAAGTCAGGGACAAAGCAATCACAAATGAAAAGTGACATATCACCCATCACTGTCTGTCTGGCGGAGATGGGGGATTTCCCCGACCCACCTTGCGATTCAGACCAGCCACATGATCCTACAATCAATGAGATGTGAAGTCACCCTGACGGTTGCAGGAGGACCCCAAAGATCCGGCAAATCATATAGATTGTGGATGAGCCGGACCCTGAGGCGCGGGAAGGAGGTGGAGGTGGAGCAGGAGGAGAGGGAGAATTAAGACGCAAGGCCAAATCGTCCGCCATGCATCCATGGAAGCGCGGCCGAGGGCTCCTCAACCTTGGGTGCATTGGACCCTTTTTGCTCCCCCGCAGTAGTTTAAATAGGACGTCACGGATGGCGATCAGATGTAGATCAGCGGCCAATTCCACCTTTGCAAGGGAGGAGGGGAAGTAAGTTTTCCATGGTTTTGATGGAGCGAGGAGGGCGGGGAGTTCGCCCAAAGCCCTTTTCTGTCCTCTGGTGAAGTTGAATCATTTGGGTAAAGTTGTGAAGGAGGGAGGGGGGATTGCAATCCTGGCTGTGGAATTGAGTCTGAGAGCTCTGGGCATCCCTCCTTGTCTCTCTCTTTCCTCTCCTGCTCCCTTTCTTTATGCAGCTCGTCGGGCACCAATTGGTATCTCTGAGTACAACATCTGAGCGGCCAAATACGTCGCAAAGGTCAAGAAAGTGCCCCAAATACCGGGGGTGATTCTGAACCCGGCGAAAGACAAATCAATTGGGAGAACCGCGTTGAGGAAGCCGAAGAAAGAGTACGTACGTCAAAAAGGCAAGAACGGCGGGCCGGATGCGGAGTGTGTCACGTGGCCCCGCCTGGGTTCGAACGGTTCGAACCACGGCCATTTTCCCGTCATGTGAAGACATCCCAACTTGTCCCATGATTCATGCTTCATTTCCTACCTCTAGATCCATTGACGCGAACTGGACTGAAGACCGATCAAGCATAGCTGAGCAAAGCACACCAGGGAGGGTTTGGCTCGCCTCTCTCTTTATGCAATGCAGACCGAACACAAACGAGTCGCAAGTCGCGTCATACCTGCTGCCATTCTGTACTAGTCATGGTCAACCGCTAATTAACAAACACATGGTTTCGCTATCAGGCAATACACACATGTACCTTTTTCCTGGTCAAGTTTGTCTCCGAACAGAAACAATTGCCCTTTTCTGTCTCTGCTCCGTTACTCCAATACTCTCTACCAAAGAGCGGGAATGGCGACTCGCACTCCCTCTATTCAACGCTACTACGTCCCGAAGATGATGAAATCAACTTTCCCCAGAACCATACCGATCTCGCACCCAAACACACACAGGTTGCTCCGCGGAGAAAGCAGATTGTGCGCGTGTGATCTAAGATTATCAACCGTGCACCCACGATCGATTCTCCCACTCCCCCACCGAACACCAGAAATCTCCCCACTGCATTGTTGCAAACCTGGCCCCCTCCCAAAATCCAAGGCTATCATAGCCTATCGGTCTCAAAAGTATTATGGCCCTACGATCTCAATCTCGGCTATCGTTTTGCCGACATCGATCACATCAAGTAACGATTATCCCGGGCCCTCCCCCTGAACCTGTCGATGAAGAGATTCATCGATTTTGTTGGACAAGCGATGGTACCTGAAGAGCTCATTTAGCGTTGAGTCCCCTTTCAACTCCCATGTCTCTACGTCATGTGGCTTGATGAAAGTCGCCAACCAATCTCGACCTGCGTCAAGGCGCTCTTAATATCCGTCTTTAGTGTTAAACTACGCCTCGTCGGCATCCGGCAAGATGCGATTTGTGGCTTCCGGGAACCAGTATATACAACTCGTACCACTGGGAATCATACCGCTGCGGAGTACGTATCCTCCCCTCAATCGAACCATCGCAGCTGCATCGCGGAGAAATTAGGAGAGAAAAAAGGGACATGAGAAAAAAGTGCTTGGGGTTTGACTAAAGCGGTTACCCCTGCATGAAGTTAGTCTGGCTTAGTCTGCCTGTCTAATCTGGGCTAAGCTACGATCTACAACTCCAACTTCGGAAACTCATGCCATCCAAGGAACCACTTACCACCCCCCTTGTCCATTCCCGGCGGAGTACCGTGGTCATGATCCAGAGCTAAGTTGGCTAACGCTTCCTCCGGTTGTTTCGGTATGGTGGGCAACGAACGGGACGGATAGAGGGCCATCTTCCCGACCCCGTCGGTGCTCCATTACCAAGCATGGTTAAAGCCTCCCTTCCTTCCTCTCGGTCGAGATCTGGCAATCGATCGCTATGCGCCGACCAAATTGCCGAGCAAGGGGTTGGTTGTACTGCCAAGCAGAAACGGGCAGCAAGACACGCGACATGTCTCACCATGCAGGCTTCTTCTCAAGAAACCCTGCTGGTTAGCGGACGTGGCAGCGTCGAGGCTCTTCGGTAGGGGGAGACAGATCTGCTTCGTATCCTGGTCAGTCTATACTATCCATGAACCCCTGGGCGTAGGTGAGTCGGATGTAGGAGCTCTAGTGTCGAAACCACGTATAGCCTATTATTTGTGTCGTTCAGCATGCAGTAAGATGCTCAAGGGCGCTGTCTCACACATTTGGCAGCGCTCATGGTGTCAATGCCGAACTTCTACCTGGTAGTCGAGCAATGGAGCATCTGCTAATTTCAGCGTGCTCATAATCTCGAAATACCGTGAACACCAGCCGGTGCAGTGGTCTTCCGCAGCGCAAAACTGCTTCGTCATGGTGCTATGTGGATTGATCACGAAAAAGCAACCCCCGGGTTTTAGTGTAAAGAGAATCAGACTGATAGCCAGAGTTGGTCTGGAGATAAAAATAGAAAAATCAGAAGAAAAACACAGAAAGCACATGTGAATGCAGGGATGTGCAATCCTTAACCGATACCGCACAGCGAGTCATAGCTGCTCCCATCAGGTCATTGAGCCCGGCAGACTGGAGGCATAGACATCACACAGCCCGGGCAAGGTAAAGCGTACCACTGCTGCTGCTGCTGCTGCTGCTGCTATTAGAACCCCAGTCCTAGATTGAATATCACGGCAGACCAGGCAGCCATTCCTAGTGTGGATAGATCAACAAGACTTGCTCTCGTGGCATTCGAGTTCATCAATTGACCGGTCTTTGCAAAGCCTGCTGCTTAATCAAGGGCCAGCCAAGTGCAGCACGTACAGTACCCGATTTTCTAGTAGGCAAAGTAGAAGTAGAGAGCCCATAGCTAACGATCGGTAAGGTGTTTCTATTCCCTTTTTTTTTTTTTTCTCCAACAAAGCCAAGGCTCGATTGACTTGGCAATATCTAGGAGACCAGCATCGCGATCTCAATCATGGATCCCTGTCCATTGCTCTCGTTGTGAATCTGGTGCAAGTTGAGACACCAATGAGAATAATGATGATCATAAGTGGCAGCAGCAGGTCTGCCCGCCCGTTTTTTCCAAGCAAGCTAATTAACCTAACCCGGGGGGGAGGGGAGATCCATTATTCCTCGAGTGGACCACCGAACCGAGCCCCATCGCGTGCCGACGGCGTTCTTCGGCTGCGGACCGGGATGTTTCTGTGTTTGGTTTGATTATAATGTTGAACTTGTTCTGTCTACTGTCTAGCCCACCGAAAAAAACCGCTTCAACGGCCGATTGCGGAGTCACGCCTAGTTCTCTTTTGCCAGCGGTTGTTGGCATTAGCGCAATACCTTGATCTAGTCAGCCAGTCTGTGTTACGAGGTAGCCCAATGCTCTCTATAGAACCCAATATAAATGTTGCGAATGGGTGGGAGTTGGCCGTTGTTTGACTGTTGACGGGGATTCACGGAGGATATACTCAGCTGGGCAAGCTGGAACCACCACCCAGAGTCCTGTGACAGGACCATGGACCACGGAAAAGGGGGAGCGCCCAGTGCGAATTCCTGAGCAACTGCTTCCGCCTCAACTCTTCTCGAACCGAATGCTGGCGGCGTCCGCCAATCAGCCTCTCCGATCCCCAACCTCAAAAATGGAATCAATCACGCAGCGCAGGGCTGGTGGAATTGTCTGTACGGTTGCTTCGAACAAAGATCTTCAGTATGGCTACCGTAGTGGTCAAGTGACAGGCTGCCATCCAAGGGAATCATCAATAGTGGATCGGATCCCGCTGGGTGTTGGGAGACCAGCCTGAGTGATGTCACTTCATCATGTCCCTGGCTGGCGATTGTGGCGAACGATGAGCGGAAGAATCAACCGCGGCTCAAGCCAAGAGCAACAGCCGCAATCATGACAATCAGAGATCCGAACTGCCGAAGCGGAGGATTGCAGCGCTGCGCAGGAAGCTACCGTCCGTTAGACTATGCTGATAGCTATCGATTAGCATATGCTTTTGGCTTTCCGTGGAGAGTCGCGTGATGAACATTGAGATGAGTGGAATGGGACCACTGATGAATCGGACGATTTGCTGCTAGATGATTTAATCACTCTGTTTGTTGCCCTTCACGAACTAAAAATTAATTGCTAGTTTCCTATGATGGTGTTGGTTTTGTTTTCGTCCACATCGCAGTGGTGGCCTGATCGTAGGGAGAAACCGGTTCTCAATCTAATTCGCCTATGAGAGCAGAGCCGGGCGAAGGAAAAAAAAATATTCATCGTCTCTTTTGCCTCTTTTTTACTCTCCGTGTCTATTTCTGCCTATTAGTAATGGGGGATCCCCCCCCCCAATTGAGGTAGCTTGTTCTCCTTTTATTGATGATCTTTTTTCCCCCCTCGGCCGAACGAAAAAACATACTTTTTTGAAGATGATAGCTCACATTGCATCGGAATTCTGCCATGCCCCTGATGATCGCTTGAGAGTAAGGAGGTCGAGGCATCCAGTAACAGGCATCAGTTTCTTCAATTACGAACCTCAATTTGAGTTTGATAAATGAATCGCGACAGTGTCTGGACTTATCTCGATGCCTTTCGCAACTATAGCCGCGACGAGGAGTAACAATAGAACTCCTTCCTATTATCGACTGTGGCTGAATGGATGTAACTGAAGTATGATAGTAACTCCAACAGCACCGCTGCTAAGAAGAATTGGGACGTCAAGGATTATTCGATCTTGTCTTTTTGGGCTGCGAACGCAGGTCTGTCGGTCGGCCATCGGCTCCGACTGGCGACGACGTCGGGCCCGGTGGAGGAGCATGAGAAGAAACAGAGCTAAACCATCAGAATATTGCTCCCTTAATCTGCGAGGCCTGCGTAGGATTTTACCAAAAAGGGAATCTTAATAATTTCTGGCCTTGAAGGTGTGGGTTTCGGTCCAGTTCGGGCGCTGGACAATCGCCTGGGTTGGAATAGTGGTTCAACATAGCTTTGCCATTCAAGTTTCCGCCATTGATATTCGACGAAGCTGACAATAGTCATTCGGCTCTTCCCTTGCACTAGACATTTTGATTAGTAGACGGGAGTTAATTTAGGATGATTATGTCCATTGCGTGGAACATGGACACGTCGAACGCCCCACGCCAAAGTTTGAAGTTCCCTTTTCTTGCTTTTTTCCTCTTTCGATCATGTTCGTGGAGAATTTCTTCCCCAATGCCATTTGTCATAGGGCATGTTCCCGAAATCCAGGCGGCGACGCGTGGAGGAAGGATGCAACTTAATACGAAGTCTGGTTGGGTGCATCCCAGCGCACCGGCAGCAGTTGGGAACGCACAATGAGATCGGCGACGATGAGTACAACCGTAAGAAAAAGAGTACGAGGGTGATATGATGTTGATATGATGATAGCCGGCATTCAGTGGGTAGTAACTAGACCATTGGCCTAAAGGGAGTAAGTAATAAGTGCATCAGACCACCGAGCTGCAGAGCAAAAGTAATCGCCAAGTCTCGGGATCCTCAAGGGCCGTTGGACGGTGACTGTCCCTGTCTGGTCTGATGCTGCACGCCTGCGACCCGTGCTGGATACATCGCCGTCCTTAGTTGGGATAGTGAAACTCCCTTCGTCTCCTCTTGATCAAGTGCCCACAATTATCATGATGGATCCGTTCCCGCGTGGAGGAGGGTCGGATTCGGATTTTCTGAACTGGCAATCAGTGCAGGCAGGATCTTGATATGCCCACTGATCGCTGACCCCCCCCCGGGCTGAAGCCCCCCTCGCCCAGTCAACATATATAATCGCATGATGTCGCTGTCCTCTCATGGGTCCCCAAATATCCTTCGATTTTCTTCCATTATCTTTCCATCCTCGCCAGATTTATCTCTCGATCCAACCCCAGGAGTTCGTGAAAAGCCTGCCGCTGTCATATAGCCCCTGTCAGAACGCCTCCTTCGATTCTCTATCAGTCACACCTTGATATCTCTTGAGGACGAATACCCTCTCTTGAAAATGGAACACTCGCTCGGTTCCGGTCGGCCGATGAAGCATGTCGAACGAAAGGCTCTGTATACCCGCCTAGAGGCGCGCATCAATTATCTTCGAGACTTCTTGGACTTCAACTCAAGTGAGTGCTCGTCCTCCATTCCCGATCGAAGCTTTCCAAGCTGACTCTGGTGGCGGCATATAAGGCGACGTTGAAGCGCTGGTAGGAGGGTCGAAATACATCAAAGCCTTGATCCCGGCTGTCGTCAACATCGTCTACAAGAAACTCCTCGAAACCGACATCACCGCACGTGCCTTCCACACCCGAGACACCGCCGACGAGACCCCGATAGAAGAGTTCTTCACCGAGGAGAGCCCTCAGATTCAACGTCGGAAGATGTTCCTGCGATGGTACTTGACGAAGCTCTGCTCCGACCCGTCCCAGATGGAATTCTGGCGGTACTTGAACAAAGTTGGGTAAGTTCACACCTGGCGAGACTGGGGCCTCGAACCCGTAGCAGGTCACATGCTGTGAGATTGAGAAAATGGAAAGTCTGACCAGCCCCCCAGAATGATGCACACGGCCCAAGAGCGTCTCTACTCGCTGAACATCGAATACATCCACATGGGCGCCTGCCTGGGATACATCCAGGATATCTTCACCGAAGCTCTCATGTCGCACCCCCACCTCTCCCTACCACGCAAGATCGCCCTGATCCGGGCCATCAGCAAGATCATCTGGATCCAGAACGACCTCGTGGCGAGATGGCGCATGAGAGACGGCGAGGAGTACGCCGATGAGATGTCGGAGATCATTGTCGATGAGAAAGAAGGCTACTTGGGCGACAAGAAGATCCTGGGCGATAGCAGCTCGGGCACTTCGAGCGAGGATGATCGTTCCAGCGTCCGAAGTGGCAACGTTCCCACTAATACCCCTGCCTGCCCTTTTGCCGACATGGCACCAACTTCATCTCAAACGAAGATCTGGGCTGGGAAGTAAATTGGAGCCGACTGGGCTCTTTTCGAGTCAGGCGGTAGTCTATTCCATTGGTGTTGTGCTGAAAAGGTTATATAAAGGGGCATGGAGCATAGCGGGCGTTAGGTATATATATTCCCGGACTCTGGTTTAATTGGTTTCATTGGTTTTGTTTGTTCGTTTTCTAGAGTGTGCCTTCTCTCTATCTGGATGAAGTAACGCAGGAAGCGCCCCGTGGGGAAGGATAATCGACTCTAGGCACTATGACGCCACCTCTTCCGTCAATAATCACGCAAGTTCAAGGTTCCAGGCCTTTATCATTCACAGACTCTGTAGATGGTTGTCGTGTCGGCTCACTTTGGTGAGGGAGGGGAGTGAAAGGGGGAGATCCTGCATGTCATTGTCCCCTGGTTGGTGATCGACATGCAAGTAATTGGGGATGGGCCGTGACCCACGCTATCGTACCTGATTCAGGTACACTCGGCGAGTCAGCAAAACATCACATGACGGTAACTCACGGTATGGTCAACATTAGTAACCGCATGTTGGATCGTCGAAACGCCAGTGTGTACAGTACAAGCAGTACTTGAATAGGTCGGGTGCAAATCTACTCTATAGAAGTGGTTGGTGTTATCATCCAATCCATGCTAGACTAAGTAAAGTAAGAACCGGGGACGCCACGAGTCACGGGATCCAATAAAGGACAAGATCGCCGTTGCAGCGGGCATGCGAGGGGCTCAAGTAATGATTGCCATTGGATTGCAATGAATAGGCTTCCCCCCCCGCCTGCTCCTTTAAGACGCTTTGAGAAGATGAATGGAGTAACTCGGTAAGGTATCTACGAGTAGTAGAGTACGGAGTACTCCTTAGAGTATTCATTGCAAGCAGAAGACAAAATCCGGTGTCCATCATGGATTCAAGTTGAAGCACTGAACCCAAGGAAAAGCATGATTGGTAAGCATGAATAACATTTATGAAACCGAACCTATTGCCAGCGGACTTCGAACTAACTAACAAGTTCAAGGGGAAACGGCAACGGTTTGGACTGGGCGTCTCAACCGCCATCCGGCCGTCAACCTTAATATTCCCTTGCCCGGTGGGGACCATTAAAAAAAAGGCACGGAACCCAGCATAATCTCCCCCCTACATGCACCATTTTGGTACGTACATCCTGCAGTATGTACCAGCTGCAGTCGAACACGCGATGCACTCATGGAAGCCACAAGGCAGTCGATTATCAAATTGACCAACTGACTAATTATGCATGCTTATCATGAGTACCAACCAACAGCCTGGTGAAAGGACCATACGTTACTTTATGAACGGCCGACTGGATTCGGCATATCTCCCCCACACCCCCAAGCCGAAAGTCAACGCCCATGGATGAGTGACATTTCTTTTCCCTTCTCGAGTTCTTAGTAAGTTAGTAGTTGGGGAAGCCTGTTCCATACATTGAAGGGAAGGTTCGGCTCCGTCGCCCCTCTTCTTTGCCATCCGTTCTCCCCCCGAGCCAACCTCCCGGCATTTTCATCCCCTCACTTCGGTGGCTGCAGCTACACAACACAAGCGTCAACAACCGACGAATAATTGCGCTGCCGGCCCCAACTTCTCTCTCTGATCATTGCTCGCTCATCTGGCACCCCCTCTCTGGTCGATTGATATAAACACAACACCCCTTCCTCCTCTTCCCCCTCAAATCTTACCTTGTACCTCACACCCCTGCCCGCTGGGTCCTCCGAAGTCTCTCTCCCACCTACCTCGGCATTGGTCGCCACCAATTTTCGATCTTTTTCCTTCTAAGGGATTAGGCAATCCGGTCGATTGTTAAAGTAACGATGATCGCTAAGAACAACACCAATGGTCTGCCGGCCATCATCCCCCTGATTGTCAACAACGAGTCGGTCATAACCGATGTCGCATTCGACGTCAAGAACCCCACGACGGGTGAAGTCATTGACCGTTGCGCCAGCGCCTCTGTCGACGATGCCAACCGTGCTGTGGCCGCCGCGAAGGCTGCTTTCCCCGCATGGAGCCAAACAAGACCCTCCGACCGCAGAGACATACTGAACAAGGCGGCGGATATTATGCTTTCCCGGAAGGAGGAGTTGATGCGATATCAGATGGAGTCCACCGGGGCGGGGCGGATGTTTGTGGAGAAAACGTTCATGCTGGGGGTTGGGTTTCTGAAGGACTTCGCAGCATTGATCCCGTCCGTTGAGGGTGCGGTGCCTTCGGTCAATGGAGAATCTGCCATGGTCATCAAGCAGCCCTACGGAGTGGTTCTGGGCATTGCGCCATGGTACTGTACTCACCTCCACATACACGACAATCATAGTCGGTTGGTCATCTGATCATGAACTAACTCCCGAGTTAGGAATGCGCCTTACATTCTCGGAGTGCGCGCAGTGGCTCTGCCTCTGGCTGCTGGTAACACGACGATTTTGAAGGGCTCCGAACTAGCACCCAAATGCTTTTGGGCGATTGGAGACATCTTTCGTGAGGCGGGTCTTCCTGCAGGCTGCGTGAACGTGGTCTTCCATCAGACTTCGGATGCCGCAGCCGTCACCACTGCTCTCATCGCCCACCCGGCCGTACGGAAGATCAACTTTACCGGAAGCACTGTCGTCGGCTCGATTATCGCCTCCACGGCCGGAAAGTATGTCAAGCCGGTTCTTCTCGAATTGGGCGGGAAGGCGTCCGCTATCGTTCTGGACGATGCCAATCTGGAGAAAGCTGCGATGTGCTGCGCGATGGGTGCATTTCTGCATGTAAGGACCATCAATTATCTGACACTCATCCTACGTGTGACATTTTCTGATAGAAGTTTAGTCCGGACAAATCTGCATGTCCACCGAACGCATTGTCGTGCAGCGATCGGTCGCCGACCGGTTCAAGCAGCTGGTGGCCGAAGCGTCCGAAAAGGTTTTCGGAAAGCATGTGCCGCCGCTGGGCCTCGTGAATTCGGCTGCCGTGAAGAAGAATAAGGGGTTGGTGGAAGACGCACTTTCCAAGGGCGCCAACCTTGTTTACGGACAGGCCCAAGGCATCGATTCTAATAGCAGCAGCATGCGGCCGGTCATCGTAGGCGATGTCACCAAGAATATGGATCTTTATGCCACGGAGTCGTTCGGCCCCACCGTGTCCTTAATTGTCGTTGAAACCGAGGAGGATGCGGTTGCACTGGCTAACGACACAGAGTACGGTCTTACTTCTGCGGTGTTTACGAGCAACCTGTTCCGTGGACTCAGGGTTGCCAAACAGATCGAAGCCGGGTAAGTGGATTGGTATCTTTGCTCAGGAGTCTTTGTCCCTAACCTCTCTTGCTATGACCCAGGGCCGTTCATATCAACTCCTTGACTGTGCACGACGAGCCGGTCCTTCCGCACGGCGGCTGGAAGAGTAGCGGATACGGCCGGTTCGGAGGTGTGGGTGGTTATGATGAGTGGTTGCAAACCAAGACTGTGACCTGGGTGGAATAGTCTGATCGGACCGCATGATCCACACACAACGATCCATGGTTATTGGCACATAGCTTGCAAGCCCGGGGTCGAGGCCGGTCTTCCATCGTCGCAAAAGAGGGATCGGGTCGAGGCGACGGGCTTTCTCATTTCAGCCATTGGGACCCTAGCTGGCAGGATTACAGCGACGGTCCAGGAGATTTTCTTTGTTACGATACCCACTTACAGCAGGGTTCGACAGGGTAGAGCCTAATTACACGAGTTCCTCCAACCGAGTTCCCGTATTCAGGCGCTAAGTCCTTGGTGTAGCGCGGCAGCGTGTCAGACCCTTGAAATTTATGCGACGAGTGCACCCGAGGCTGCAATTTGCCGTGAGACTTTGGTCTTGTGTTGGCCTTGATTGTTCCTGCTGTGTCACAGCCGCTTTCGCGCGGGTGTACTCCCGATCGTATTCCAGTCTTCTGTCACAGAATGTGATGAAAGGGTACCGTAAATAGACATACACAGTATATTCTTACACAAGGCTTGCCAAGCTCGGAGGAGAGTAAGACAAGTCATCTGAATTAGGAAACAACCGACACGGTGAACCGGCCCTACATAGCCGACTAAACCAATTCAGGCCCCCGTGGTCAGCTCATCTCCACCTGTGAAGGTACTAGTTGTACTCATATCAGTCAGGTCGCAGTCTGCGATCAGATCCGAGACATGGGCAGTAGTCCGATACCCTCGCTATACTGTAAGCCTGTAAGATAAAACAGAACTACTAGCAGAAAAGGAAGACCTCTGCCCTGAAAGCCCTGAAAGGCACGTGGGTATTTATTTTGTTCTTTGGTCGGACCGCCCGCAAGTGACCCGGACCCCTGAAAAGAGTCCCGGCGGTACACATCAAGCATTGAGTTCGTACAATCATGGCCGTGAGGTCAGGTTTGTTGCTTATTCTGGTGTTGACCTCGTGTTACTTGCCCAATGGGGAGGGCCGAAGGCCAGCCATCCCCCAAGCCCCCTCCCAGGAACGGTGCCGGATGACGGATGAGGTTTTCGTAGAGTCTGCATTGGATGCGATCATTGGCCCGGGGGACGCAAGTCTGTCATCCATTGCGCTGAAAGTTTCTGCGGTGTCCAGGATCCAAGGCTGTGTTTGGCTGCCACTTGGACAGGGTCCCCACCCACCCAGTCAGGAACGAGAAATGAGCGACAGGAACGGAACCTGAAAATCAGCGGCGAGGGTAGGGCCGTTGTGTGGGAGGAGCAATGACTTCATGTGCCACACTGGAGGAATCGGTGATCCGCGATCATCATTCTCACAAAGTCTCACTCGGCCAGGTAATGGTTTCGAAGTGAACATCCTACAATGTAGCTCCTGAAAGAATGCGCGGATCAATGGTGGGACAGAGAAGAGAGCACAGTGCATGGTCATCACCAGGCTTAAGAGTCAACCAACAGTGCCCAGTGAGCAGTCAACAACCCTGGCTGAACTCCGAAGTCCAAAGTCAAGATAGTGGGGTTGAACGAAGGTGGATTTCACAATCGGCTTGGCGTGGACTTTTAGTGTTTTTGCCTGTAGCAGTCCTGCACGCCCAAAAAATCGGAGTTTTTCCTGGAGCCAATGTCGCCATCCAATTTGTGCAACGCTCCGACCTCGTGGCGCCTGCCTCATTTCCTGGCGGCCTGGGCTTAAGTGACAGACAGGGAAGTGTAAGATCTCATTTGGGTGGATTGAAACCACAGGCTCAGCGGGAGAGAAATGAGAGAGTCTGAGGGTTTGATGGTCTGAGGGCCTGAGAGGAGAACCGGACATTATCCGGACAATTGAGAAGAATGAGGAAGGAGGAAGGATGTGGCAGAATCCATTGCGCGTGCCACTTCCAAGTTCTCTTTTTGCCTTTCGGCCTCTTTTACCTCTTCTACCTTTTCTACCGGACTTGTCCATGTAAATAATACCACCCAGTAATACCAAATCACTGATATCCTGTCCCTGAGCTGGCTCGCACATAAGGTTATGTGTGTTTCACCTGTACCCTTCTTAGACTCTGTTAGACTTCCCCCTCCTCCCCCCTCAACTCCATGATCTGTGGCTCCATCCAGTCTGGTACCGTGGGTGCCTGGATTTAGTTCTATTTACTAACGATTCTAGTTCATCACCACCTCGCCTTCATTCAGGCGAGAACACTCTTCGCCTCCGTCCTCGGATGTCAGCCATCCCCTATTCTTGTTCTCGTTGAGTCAGTCAGTCAGTCAGTTGAAATTACCCGCCCAGGGCTGGTATCAATAGACTATCGATGGAACGGACTGGGACACATCCCCGTCCAGCAGCAAGCGATGGCGGCGATGCTGGGATCCAAGCGAGCTAATACAGCTAATACTCAGGCTAATCCGCTGGATGAGCCAGTGGGACGACAGAGATCACACTGAGGTGACATCGCTAAATCTTACTAGGCAGTTCAGTCGGGGGTTCGGGGTGGCTAAAGAGGCTTGCATCCATACATTCCACGGCTCTTCAGGGTTTTGGCCTGGCATCCCTCAGTCCTCGACCGGGCAAGTCATCCGTAGTTAGTATGTATGGAGTCATGTAAATATGTATCATCTGGGTATCTGAAGTTCCGTCGCAAAAGTAATTTCAATCTGCCCCACTGCCGCAAATGAGCCGCAGATTGGGCCAGGTTGAAGGTCTGGCAGCCTGGAAGCTTTTCCTTCTCGGCCCCCTCCATAGGGGTAAGTCCGTATGATTATTGTACTGTAGTCGAGATGGAGTAAGATGACGGGGGGGGGGCTATGCTCTCTCTCTCTCTCTTCTCCTCTTGAGGATAGTTCACTAATTTCAATTTTACATATCATCTTTAAACCTCCCCCCGCCCCCTCGTACATTTCTCTTCTCTTCCTTCCTTTCTTCTCACCCACCCTTCGTGTCCTTCGTTCTTTACGCCTCATTCCCACGGTAGTCACTCTTTTGCACTACAAGCCATCTCACGAGTCTTAACCCACTCCAGTCACTCCTTGATTCACTCACTCTTCACGAAGGAATTCCACCCTCCCAAACCTAACCACCTACACCACAAATCAAAATGCGTTTCTTCGCCGTCATCTCTGCCCTTGCTGCCCTGGCCTCGGCCTACACCCAGCCCGACTACACCCAGAGCCCCACCGGCAATGCCATCTACACTCCTGGCCTGAACGACCAGGTCGAGGCTGGCCAGGCCTACAGCATCACCTGGGATCCCACCACCACCGGCAAGATCTCTCTGGTCCTCCTCCACGGCCCCAGCACCAACATGCAGACTCTGTACGCGATTGCCGAGGACATCGACAACACCGGCAGCTTCTCGTGGACCCCCAGCACTGATCTGGCGCCCGAGACCACCCACTACGGACTCCTGCTCGTCGTCGAGGGCACAGGCCAGTACCAGTACTCCACCCAGTTCGGTATCACCAACCCCTACTACTCGTCCTCGTCCGCCGTTGCTTCCGCCACCACCTCCACTGCCGCCGCTACCACCTCCGCTGTCACTGAGGCTGCTGCCACCACCACTGCTGCCGCGACCACCACCGAGGCCGCCGTCAGCGCCGCCACCTCCACTGTCGCTGAGACGGTGGATGCCACCCAGCCCGCTGCCACCTCCGTCCCCGTCATCAAGCCCACCGGCTTCGTGACCTCCAAGCCCTCCGGTGTTGTCTCCAGCTCCGCCGCTCCCTCCGGCACCCCCGCGGCCAGCTCCTCCTCCGTCTCCCCCATCTTCACCGGTGCTGCTGACCGCAACGCCATGAACCTGGGCATGGGCGCCTTGGCCGCCGGTGTGGTTGCCATCTTTGCTATCTAAACTAGCCCGGGCGTGAGCTTGGCATTTTGTGGTGGTGTGTGTATCTGCACTGTGATGAAGCTTAGTTTGACTGTTCATATGCTTTGATACTTATTCGACCAGGACAAATTTTAAAGAAACTTCGGATGTATTAAGCTTGTTTGTTTTGAACTTTTGTGTACAAGAACAACCCCCTCTTCCCCAATGCCCCCCCTCCGGCATGTGGAATTACCTTTCTTCGACATGATTTCCTTTTTTTTTTTGTTCTCTAATATTCTAGTTCTCGGTTAATACCCCCCCTTTATTTTGACAACATGAATGAACCTCCAAGGGAGAAAATATCTGATGACCATAATAAAACGGACCCCCGTCTTCCCCCTGTGTTTGATGTTTGATGTTGTTTGTGTATTGTCCGGAAGCAAATAACTGCGACTTTGATGGGATGTTGGGTTGGTGGCCCTTGTGTACTTATTTGATCTCCCACTAATGTTTCATCTTAATGAATTCCGCCCCTCGGGGGGATGACACCTCCACTACTTGAATGGTCAACTTAATAATACCCATCACTAAGAAAACATAATCTTAGTTGAAATTGCCAACGCGGGCTGGCCGGAGATTTGGTTCTCCTTCCCAGGCTGACTGACGTGCACGTGTGGGACGGGATCGATCGGACGTTGTGACTACATAGTCTCAACGGGCGCGGGCGGCAACTTCGACGTACTCGATTAATCTATTGATCTATTCCAGACCACGACAGTACTTAGAGTATTTCCACTTGCACGGAGGTTGAGTCAATCGCGGCTCGGGACCTTCCGGTCGTCGGTATACGTATCCCGTCGTCTAGTATTGTTGTTGGAATTTGGGGAGACACTCAACAGAAAAATCTATTCGTTCTACTGTAGGTCTCCTGGGCGCACGCCAGGGAGTGAGCGCCTTCGTGGCCTGGAAGAGCACCCATTTTGCGTTCTGTACTTCTGCGATATCCGGGCTGGGTAACTTGGTTGGTGTCCGACCCTTGTCCTGCGACCAACTACCGGCATGGATCATACACACTGACTTCACCACGAGCGCATGACCAGCGAAGCTTAACCCACTAGCTGGGTTTTGTCTATCGTGATGGTGTGACCAACGTAGTCAGAACTCCTCCTGTGGCTGACAAGCTTCGATAGATGTGGAGTGTATGCGGACTTTGAGAAAGAGGATGTATGTGCATTGCCCGCTGCCCAGGAATTTCCAGCCTAAACCTGTCGAACGATGCACAACGTCCTCACCATCCAAATCAAATGAATCATCCCTGACAAAACCCACATTACGCGGGGCAACAACATACAAGTCCCTCTCAAACCCTCCCTCGACAGCACAAGAACCCACCGAAACCCAAGAGAATGTATACAACCAACCCATCACGTGACCGATAAGCCCGATCCTTTCCCCCGATAAGCAATTTTTCCCATCCCATCCCAACCTAGCAACCACTATCCATCCATCACATCACAACACCTCCAAACTCCTCCAAATTCTTTCCGTTCAGTCCATCGCTGCAGGCAGTGTACCCAACCACCCTCGTAACCTCTCTTCCCCACCAAAAGAAACAATGGTTCAAGGATCCCTCAAGAAAACCAAGCCCTCGGGCGGCTCGACCTCGAAACGGTACACACTACCTCCTCTTCTCTCCCCTAGCACATTTGGCATTTCTACCCCCAGACTCCCCTTGCCCCCCCCCCCCCCCTTCCCAGCCAACTCCTCTCAAGCAAAATCCATCGCACACCACCCCCACCAAGCCATCCAGAGCCCTAACGACAGACAAACACAGTCCCACCGCTCTCGCCCCCAAACGCGGACCCCGCCAGATCGCCCCCAAGAAAGCCTCCCTCATCAAGCAGCAGAAATTGACCAAGGTTCGTCGTCGCCCCTCTGAGCTAGACTCTGTCACCGAAGACCCCGACCCAAACCCACCCCCCGTCCCAGAAACAAAGCATGGCGCGACTAACCCTTCTCCGGCGACACAGAAACTCACGGCCGGGTTGACCGCGCGCACGGAGAAGAATCTCGCGGAGCGGGCGGGTCACCTGGAGTTGTTGGCCGGTGGGAAGAAGGATAAGAAGGCGGATGCGGCGAAGGGGAAGAAATAAGAACCTGCGGGGGAGTTGCTTTTGCTTTTGCTTTTTGTTTGTGAGGAAGGGGGATGAGGGGTCGAAGAGAAGGGAGCCAAGTCGAGGAAAGATACATACATACTAAAGTTTCTGGAGGGGATTAGGATACATACGAGTAATGAAATTAGATACCCTTGTTCTTTTGGCTGCTTGAGTGGTTGAGATTTGTTGGGTTTCCTTGGTGCTTGATTGTTCTACGAATTCGGTGGTACGGGAACGGAAGTTGAGACACCTGAACTCTAGGCAAATCAAAATTATATATGAGAAGAGTAGTCATATGTCCACAAAAAAAGTACGTGTGACCAGGTACCAAACAAATCAACAATCATCAATCATCATCGTCTTCGAGAAGAAAAGACAAAACACGCTTCAAAAGGGTATCTCAAGTGCAGTCAGTATCAGTCAATCCGGCGCTTCTTGTGCCTCCGTATGGAATGGGTGGGATGCGGGGCCTCGTTCACATCTTCGACATCCGGATCGGAGCCCCCGACTGCTCGATCAGCTCTTGCCCGTGCTCAACCCAGCGAGCAAAGCCGTCGTCAGTGGGGTCGCTAGGGAAGTCATCCCAAACCGCGTTCTCCGAGTCGGCATACGTAGACCACGTCCCCTTGGGCACCTCCGAGGCCGACCATGAAGGAAGCTTCGCCATCACACAAGTGTAGTAAACGTAAAGAATCCTGCACAGTAGGTGAACCCGATCGACGTAGTGCTGTTTGCTGGGGTCCGGTTCGCGACCACCATCTCCGAGTTGCTTCCACCAGGACATGCGCCAACGTAGGGTCAGCAGTATGTGGCCGAGTTCGTTGAGGAATCGCAGGTGCGTATCCTGAGAGATCTGCTTCCACTTGATGTTGTAGAAGTCACGTTCCAGTTTGCGGAATCCTTCAACTTCCAGCATACGGCAGATGATGCGCGACAACTGGGCCGCCATGAGTATTTCTCGCCTATCTTCAGCGTCGTCAATGTTCATTGGTCTCTCGGCGTCACCCGCTTGAAGAGGAACAAAGCTGTAGCTCGCACGGCTGGGCATGTTGTTCCATTTCGCGAGAAGAGTCTGTCGAACATTAGTAAAAAAGGCTTCGGACTTTAGTAGGAGTGACATACATAAGTATTGGCCATTGGGTCACAGTCCTTCACACACGTGAGCCAATTCTTCGACTTGTCCTTCGACTCGACGAGTCGTCGGTCAACGAATTCAAGGAAGGTCGACTTCGAGTTGCCATTGTACTCGCTCAAGCCACGCAAAAACCGATAGGTCTCCGCCAAATCCAGGGTATAAAGAGATCCCCAGGACTGACTGGCCCGGATGTTGAACCGGCCTTGGCGTTCACCGAGGAATGAAATCAAGTCATTCAGATCGAACTCGGAAGGAATCTCCATGCGCACTCGCCTTGAGCCATCCAGGGTGGGGTGATTGACCGCTCGTTGAGCTGATAAGATTAGCCAGGTTGCGCAAATCGGCAACTAGATCTTGGCACGTACAGATATAATTGCAAACACCATATTCAACGATGTTGGAAAAGCAGGCGCGAGCGCAAGGCTGTTCATGCAGCGTAGGGCGGCACGCATCGCAGGGAGCATTCCCATCGCACTGTTTGCGGCATTAGCTATTTTACCACAGAAGGGTGTTTCACTTGTGAAATGCGAACCTTGCGCTTGTTCAATCGGCACTGGACACACGTGTCCTTATTCTTTCTTCGCAATCCAGCGTTTGCCCTTCCGACCATAGACAGAGGCCCCTTACGGCGCGCTCCACGAGGCGGAGAAATGAAGTCAGCGGAGGCAATCGAACCGCCCTGGCCATCCTCTTGCACAATCTGCAGTGGTTTGCATTGTGCCTGATCCAGGTTCACGCTAAGGTTGCGCTGCTTGCGCTTTCGAACCGTAGCGACCGACTGCATAGATAGAGCCTGTGGCCGTGCAGGCGCTCGCTGAGCGGCGGACGCCGCTCTCGGCCGAGAATCGACCGGAACGTAGTAGGATTCCGCTGGGTTCTCGCTGACCATGAAAGCAGTGGCGTTTTGCAGGGGTTGCGCGGCATCGGAAGGTGAACCATCGTTTCGCTCATCCTTCCATTCATCATCTAACTGTCGGTCGGCAAAAGCGGGGATGCCGTCCGTTGTAGCCGAGTAAGGGTCGTACATGGTGGAGAAATCGCCAGACACTGACGAGCTCTCCGACTTGTACTGAAATTCGTCTTGATTTTTGGGTTCTTCTTTGAAGTAGGGGGGATCCTGCGGCATTGTCATTGACGCAGGGGAGGTCATGTTGCTTGGTAACTGAGCCTCCAAGCTATCTAGCCAGCGGGAATCCAGAGACCGTACATGCCCGTGATAGCTGCGCATGCCCTTAGTCGCTGACTGCGAGCCCATTGCGAGCGACATCGGCGTCTGGCGGGAAATGTTTTCAGCAGTGGCGGCGGGCTGTTCAGACCAGTATTCCGCTGAGGGGAAGGAGAACGCCGGCGGCAGCGGCTGAAACGGCACGAACTGATCGGAGGCGACATCTGAAAATCCTTGTCCTTGAGGCAGGTCTCCAGAATCTTCGACAATGACCGTGTTGGTGGAAGCGACCGGCTCCTTGGCGTATGGATAGAGGAGACCAGCTTCGCCGGGAATGCCAACCGAAATAGCGTTGAACAGGTGAAAAGGCGGCCATGACTCATCCAGATGGAAGTTGTCATCGGCGGAGGAAGGCAGGGTTCTAGGGCTGATAGTCGCACTGACAGTGCCGGAGATTGTGCCATCTACTATGCTGAATTTGTCGGGGGTGGAGGTTCCTGGTTGTTTACTGCAAGGGGGGCGGGTCGCGCATCAGCGGAGGGGGTCAGAAGAGGGGAACAGCTGAGAAAACCGCACCTGTAATCACTGCCCTGATAGTCGTCCGGCTGTCCGACCATCGAGACCGTTGACGGGTCCCGCAAGAGGGAGCCATGAGGGCCATTTATCTCGACGATATCGGCATCGCCCTGGCTGGAATCCTGGCTCGTATCCCACTCCAGCGGTTGTTGTTCGTAGCCCGGATGCTCGTACGCGGAAGTTGGAAAGTTGTCAGTTTGCCAGTTATCGAGGATTTTGGGGTCGATGCCCGCAGCGGTGCCAGTACTCCCGCAGTCCATACAGGGTCTGCGAGGGATGATTTAATAAGACCTCGACGAGCTGGCCAGAACTTTAGCGCGTTCCCAGACTGTTGGGAACCGGCGGAGGGTCGCGCGGGAAAAAGCACACTCGGCGAGGCGGGTGGGCTTGGGTTTGCGATAGCGGAGGACGGACGATGGAGGGGAAATGGGATGGGTTGACGGTGATAATGATGATGAGAGAAAGAGGAGGGAGAGGAGGAGGAGAAAGGAGAAGAAGATGATGATGGTCTGATGGCGCAAGCAGGAAAATCAAACCGAGAGATCGTGGCTGACTCTGTCTGGGTTGGTTTAGTTTGGTTTGGTTTTGGTTAGATTTGGTTTGGTTTGGGTCGGAGTGAGTGAGTTGAGTTGAATAATAATATGGAAATACTGTAATGTCCCCACCAGAGATTTTGCTGCGGCGATCGGCCTCACTACACAGTAGTCACAGTAGTACACACATACGTCGATGTCTTGTTCGCAACAATTCCTTTCGCACAGACCAGTCAGCTTGCAGGTTTCCTGCCTGGTGCTCGACTATGAATCTTGGCAGATCAACTATTTCTGGGTCTGACTGATCCTAGTTGACCGGTAGTCTGTGATAGTGATCCAAAAGTGATCTAAAAGGTCGAGATGCATGCATGCATGCATGTATGTACACGAGTCTGTTGTTGATATCTGGTTTTCACGAGTATCTACAGACCAAGACTTACGGAGAGTCTCATACACATTTGACAATGTGTTGTGTGTGCGTGCACATTGCACGGATGGCTTCTTGGCAGGAGAGGGGTTTTTGCTGCTGCCGTGGATCATCCAAATTATCTGAACCGTGTCTGAAACCACTCTTTGTTCTACTGTCGGCTATTATTGTACAGTTCCCGCTCTGCTGCAACCTTGAGGAATGAGGATGGAGACTCCTGCACCTCACCTTCTGACCACCGACCACTAATTCACCCTGGCGTGATGTGATATACGATCTGATAGTGTCTCCGAGAACTCCGAGCCTGACATGACCGATGGAGATTACGCGAGAGAATCAGTGGAAATACTCCATCAGGTACGGAGTATTCTGCGTATGGATGGGACCGACCTTGGGAAGGTCGGCACGGGCTGATGTCCTCCGTGCGGCGTGATGAGGCTAGTCGCCTGAAGGTTCTACCTAAACTTCTCAAGACATAAGGATCCAAAGAATGAAAGGGTAGGGCAGAAGATAGATAGGTGGTTGGTAGTGCCGTGGTGGTAACTTACTGAGCACAACGTACTCTGAGGCTTGCTGGGCTCCATCGTAGCCCCGCCGCAAGGAACGGACGGAACGGCGTTTCTACTAAGAATACCATCAAGACCGAGCAATCAGAAATCAAGGACCGCTTGGAAGCGATTCTAGAAGCCCCTCCTGTTGTGCAACAGTCCTTGCAAAATTCATGGTGGCCCCATCAGGGTCTACCATTGACCGTCAACAAGAAGAAAATTTTCTTGATAAGAGACCGGCCGATCCGTAGATGACGGCACAATGGACCTAGATCTTAGTAATTGAGACCACACACAGCTACCCAGCACGAGACAATAGTTCTTTCTGTACATGTGTTTGATGCATAGGCGAGATCCTATACAAGGTTGACGGGCTGATATGTGTCTGTAGATATCCAGCTGCTCCATGGGTTGGTGATAACATGAACGTAAATGCTGCTGGCCTGGCCTGGCCTGGTCATGCCCTAGGCATGCACCTCAACTATAATGTCCGAGTCGAAGCTGTTTTCCCTTTGCACCCTCACGATTGTGTTGAACTGCTGCCGGGCTTCTGCAATTTTCTCGGTCAGTTTCCATTCTGCTGTCCGAGGATTATGGCGTATGGAGCCGAAATTGTCAAAGAATATGGACATAGTAAAACCCCAGCTCCAGCGAACTCCAGCGGCTACTTATAAGACCATCCAGTGGTTATTCTTTCTGCCACCGGGACTGCACCCGGTTATATACACCGTAGACTGGGGTGCAATTGAGCCGGTGTGAACTCGCTCAGCCGGTCGCCCAAAATCACTGCCGCGTTTCTCTGCCAGAAATCCCTTTCTCTTACCATTAAAAATCGAACGATTCGTGGCCGATCGGAATGTGTTTCCCCACGAAGCCGACTCCAAACGGTGTTGCCAGCTTCACCGCAGACTCTTTTTGGCGGGACCCTCGGCTTCCCGTTGGTAATGTTTGGTTTCGGATGGTAATTTTCCTATTTTCCTGCTGGCCACAACCCCCACCACCGCAGCTTCGACTGTTCTGAGCTCGTCACACCGACAATACCAAGTGTCCCGAAACCTGCCCATTCCATCGGTCCCCCCCGCAGCATCAAGAGCTTCACCGTGACCAGATTCGAGATGCGGTTGCAATTCTCCCCGGTTTCTCTTCGCCGGTCGGGGTAAAATGGGGTCTGGAAGGGTGAAAGAACGGAATTGGGCTCCCCGGGGCTGGATATTGCCCAGTCTCAGATCGACCCTATAAATGCAGGATGCCTTTCTTCGTTCAAGGCTGTTTCTTTTGTCTGGGGAAGAATCCAGCCCAGTGGGGAGACATTCGAGCAATTCTTACGTATGAGTCGAAACTCCGCCTATTATTCGCACTATACCCTTTTCATCGACTTCCACCGACCCAAAGCGAGCAAGCCGAGTCTAGCCTGAACTTGTCGAGACTCAGGGCTGCCTATTGCCTATACTGGACTACGATAGTACCATACCATCCAAGTACAAGGCTGTACCAATCCACTCGCTCAACATGCATATCCTGGTATGCTTCATGCTTCTCTCCCTCTGTACGATCATGAAAAGGACCCATACTAAAACCCATCTGCCTTCCCGTTCCCACAGGTTGTGAACGACGACGGACCTCCTTCGCGCCGCCTGTCTCCATACATCCAACCGCTTGTCTCCGCCCTCCAAGCAGCGGGCCACCTCGTCTCCGTCGCCATCCCAGCCGCTTCCCGCTCCTGGATCGGCAAGGCACATCTGATCGAAGCCTCGCTGAAAGCCACCTACGTCCCGCCGCAAGCCTTCCACAACGACGGCACCTGGAACGAGACCTACACCCACACCGCGGCCAATGACCACTCCTCCTCCTCCTCCTCCTCCTCCTCCTCCCCCAATGGCACAACCACCAGCGGCACCCCCAACGACGAATGGGTCGTAATCACGAACGGCACACCCGCCAGCTGCGTGCAACTCGGCCTCTTCAACCTCTTCCCCGACCGACCCCCGATTGACCTGGTCATCTCCGGCCCGAACCACGGCCGCAACGCCTCGACGATCTACAACCTCTCGTCCGGCACCGTGGGCGGCGCCCTCGAGGCCGCCACCTGCGGCAAGCGCGGCATCGCCATCTCCTTCGGCAGCAAGGAGGAGCAACCGGCCGCGATCATCGCGGCCGCCGCCCGCCTGGCCGTGCGCGTCGTCAACCACCTGCTTGCGCACTGGGACGAGCGCGTCGAACTCTACAACATCAACGTCCCCATGCGCGAGGACGTCGAGGCCCGGCCCGTGCTGTGGACGCGCACGCTTCCCTACTACTGGGCCAAGGGGTATCTCTACGCTGAGGCGGACAACAACTCACAACAACAACAAGTCAACGGAGTCTCTTCGGCGCAGCAGCATGACCACAAACCCGCGACGACACTCAAGCAAAGGGACTTCAAATGGGGCGCGCAGCTGTTGGATATGAAGAAGGCGCTGCAGGCCAGTGAGGAAGGGACGGATGCGCATACCGTGCTGAATGGGTGTACCAGGTAAGCAAGCTTGATCTCCGTGGGGGGGGGCGCGAGTGGCGAGCGCGAGCGCTGCGACTCCTACCATTGTTCCTTGACCACTGGGCTAACTAGGTCTTTTTTTCCTTATCGCATAGTGTCACCGCCCTTCGCGCGAACTTCTGGCATGTTCCTGGCTTGGAGGGAACTTTGGAGTTGGAATGATTCGATCAATATGCATAATTGGATAGGGTGGGAAGGGGAAAGGAGTGGTGGAACAACAACAAAACGACAACCTTTCATGCATGGACGGGATCGGTTTATTATCACGTCCACTTTGCTTTTGCAACAATTAGATACCCGCAACGGTTCTTTGGTTTTTTTTTTTTTTAAAACGTCTATGTTCGACTCGATCTTGGAGTGGAACGCCTTGAATATATTTGATGGCTTTGATTATCTGTCCGAACAGATAGACTCGGGAAGGAAGAAGAGATTTCTGTCTGAATATCAATCATGATAAGAATTATGCAGACCTTCTTGGTTGTATTTCTGCTTCAGTATGCGGATATTGCGCTAATTAGATAAAGGGATGAATAACGTACGCCGGCTACCGCGTAATAGTAAGATGGATGGTAATATCATCTGGGGCTTATGACAAGGAACGAACAATAAAACCCAAACAGTCGGCAGGAGTATCATTTGCGGGAGTATCATATGGATCATGAGGAGCTCAGGAAACTGGAACAGAAAGAACAAAATAGACGAAACCAAGAACCGTGGCGGACATTACCCTGGTACCTACAGCGCCCGCGCCACCTCACCTGCACCGCTGTCGACAACCGAGGCCTGCTCAGCACGCATTTTGCCCTTAGCCGCAGCCCTCTCGCCGACACCCATGCGTCGGGCGACGTAGCGTTGCGCGACAACCCCGACGGCCAGGGAAAGGGACTCTTCGATCCACTCAGCGGCCCATTCGCGGGGATCCACGCCGCCGCCCTCGATGATCTCCGCGATCTCCGCAGGCACGACGGTCTGAGGCAGGTTGGCGTCTTCGCTGTCAGCGTCTTCGGTGGGAGCCGCCGTCGCCTCGAGCCAGTCGATCCATTTCTGAGGAACAGCCTGAGAGAGTGTGTGGAAGGCGATGCCGTGGATGGGGTCGTGGAGATACAGCGCAAAGACCACCTCGTCCTCAGTCTCGGCTGGGGCGTCAACGACTCCTGGCGGGGTCGCATTTTCGGTCGTGGGGCCTGCCTGGAAGAGATCCGCCGCTGTGGGCTGGCTGATGGCTTGGATGGCTAGGAAGATATCGCTACTGCGGACGGGGTTGCTTTCGCTGAGATCTTGAGTGGCTTGTTTCGCGGCCTCCTCCACTCCACCTCGGGCGGAAAAGAGCTCGGTGGCATAAGCCTCGGCGCTTGCGCGGGCGAGCTTGGTGGCTTCCACGGAGCCGCGGATGGCCGCAAGCGTACGGGGGTGACCGGGAGTGACCGTCCGCCACCAGGGCCCATCATGCCATCCTGGTCCCGAGAATTGAAGACCGCCGATATCAAGTCCGCGCTTGGGCGCTGACTCCTGGCCTCGCTGGATGACGAGGAGATCGCCGCCCTCTACCTGGGCCATCACGCGGGAAAAGACTGCGTAAACCAGGGGGTCGATGCTGGGATATCCGGAAATGTCATGAGTGATATGGATCTGGAGACGTTCATGGGAGGAGATCGGAGGAGCGATGGTGTGGATTAGGGATGTGAAAGTCGGGATGGCCATGTTGCGAAGCTCGCCGCCTAGGAACCGAAGTCAATACATGTCCATATCTGAATCAGTCTTCTAGAGGACCATACCTAAGTCTCTCAGTGCGCCGACATTTCCCTTAACCTGCTGTGCCCATTTCTGCGCTTCCTCATTCTGCTGGATCTCTTTTACAGCAGCCTCGGCCTGCTTCATGGCGGCCGACGCAGTCGCAAAAATTCCGCCCCACCATCCACCACCGCCGCCGCCACTAGATGTAGCTGCCTCTGTTGTGACGGCTTTCTCTGATTCGGGTTTGACATTGGTACTCTTGTTTTCCGGGGCCGAGGCTCGCACACTTTCACCCGATCTCCGTGGGACAGGTTTCTCCTCGCTGGTCCGACCGGCTGCGGGTGTCGCAGCCACTGGAGCGGGCTTGGGTGACTTGATAACTGGACGGGGTTCGTTGGTCGATACACGTGGGGTACCCGGACCACTGCTAGGGCGCTGAGCAGTTAGGCTGTCCAGCTCAGCGAAGATGTCTTGTTCCGACTGCGTCGTTGCAGCAGCGGGGGGTTTGGAGGTAGTTTTGGACGGTTCTTGGTCGACGGCTGACTCCACGGTCAAATCGTCAAATTGAGCTAGAAGCTCATCATTTGTGGGTTTCGAGGACTTGGGACGCATGGTAGCGTTTTATGCGGATGCACTTTAAAAGATCACTTCTATGGGTGGGGGGGTAAAGAAGGACAACAAGCGATGATGGTGGAGTGAAGCTCTCTTGGTTGTTTTGGGCGGTGGAGACGGGATGACCTGTGCCAAGAGGCTCAACTGCGTGGCCGCCTTCCGCCTTCGACAACAAAGGCTTGTATGGGCTAGTACGGAGTGGAACTATAAGTTAAGGTATACATGTGACATAGATTAGTTACTGCGCATCATCATGCATCATCATATCTCGTTGCTTTGGGATCGTTGAGTATTGAGCTTTGCTTCAGACGAGCGCCCACTTTTCATCTCCTTGTCATGCTTTCGTACGGATGTGTGTTTGTTTATTTTTGCCAAACAATCCCAATGGAGACTATTCTATGCAAGTGGAGGTCAATATGAGCACGAAAATGCTTCTGATGATCTTTTTATAGACCTTTGGTCTAGGAGCAATGTCAATAGCTCAAGTTGGCCTCTTGTCGCATCGAAGTTTATTCGGAAAAGTCCTCAGTCTTCTTAGCCATGATCGCAATCCACTCTTCACACCGCCTGTAGATCGATCGATCCCACGAAGATATACTTACTCAGTATCAGACTGCTAGTCCTGCCCCCAACTCTGCAACATATCTCGGGACAAGTGCATGTGCATCACTCACGGAGAGTTCATGTTCAGGATTATAGAGCCGTGACTTACAGGCTGCCTGGCCCAGCTTCCTTTTCCTCGTTAGGCGGAATGACGGTCAAAGATTTCTCCAAGATTCTTTGATCTTGACATATGATATCACACGATGGTTGAGCGGACTGGGATCCCGCCGGCACGGTCAGATCATACTCTAGCCACACAACTCCTTACAGATGAGTGAAGTGTACCCGAGGTTGATTCGTCGACTTCACAATCCATGGTCCACCGGATCTGATCTGTATCTCTTGACAACAAGGAATCAAGTATTTTTTTCTTTCCAGAAAAGCTCATCACAAGCCACCAAGCCATAACAAAACCTCACATGCTACTGCTGAAAGCTTGCTATGGTTGAGAGCCATCTTAATGACAGCCGCATTGATGAAAGTAGGGTGACTGTAGCCCGAGAATTCCCTCCAGTCTAAGTCGCTTTCACCAATGCTTTAATCGATTTGAGTTTTCAGATCATGTTCGATCTATTCCCAAGATTAGCAGCCCCTTTACCGGGACACAAGAGTAGTAAAATGCGGTCGATCATGATCGAGTGCAAAATGCGCACTATTCGCTCCCTAGGCGCCTAGCGGACCCTTCTGGCCACCCGCCGGCGGACAGAGATAGATTACAGATAAAGAGGGACGCATGGTATAAGATAAATTGATTCCCAGCTTCTCTTGAATCCTTCGTTTTGCGCATTCATTGTACCACGCAAATTAGACTTTGCCACCCGGAAAGTAATCGCCAGTTTAGCCGCAAGTTTCCCGCTATCAATTACAGGTAACAAGCCCCTACACTAGGTAGATGGTGGCAATCAAGAAGCTGACAATGTGCAGAGGACACACCTTGAAGGTCGACCCCATAATAGCCCGAGCATCCATCATGCGCCTTCCATACGTTGCGAACCCTCCGCAGACGAGCGATCCCGAGGAAGCTGAGATCCTCGCACAAACGCAAGCCCGACGTGCCCCTGGAACTCTGCTACCTCTAGACTTGGCACTGATGCACTCGTTTCCAGTCACGGATGGCTGGAATTCATTGATGGGTGCCCTTCGCACGAGAACGAGTCTCTCGACTATCATCCGGGAGCTGATCATGTGTCGCGTGGCTGTCCTCAATGATGCATTGTTCGAATGGGAGCAGCACGCCCCGTTGCTGAAGGCAGGAGGATTCAGTGACGAAGCGCTAGAACTCATTCAGCAACCAGGCATCTGTCCAGAGGCACAGGAAAGGGTGCTCAGTCGGGAGGAAAGCGCGGTGCTGAAGTATACAGACGCTATGACCAAGACGGTCAAGGTGCCGGAGGAGATCTTCCAGGAGGTTAAGGAGTGGTTCGATGATAAGCAGGTGGTGGAAATTACGGCGACGGTAGCGGCCTACAACGGTGTTAGCCGCTTTTTGGTTGCATTGGACGTGGGAGAGCGGAACCATGCTAAATGCTGGCATGTTTAATTGGATCGTATCTCTATAGATCTTCGGTTTTCGGCAGCTGGGTCTTCAGACATAATGCCAGGGAGGGGATTGAACATGTATTGATAGCTTTGTTCGGTGTTGTTGTTTTGCGGAGTATAGTATGTTTGATAACGCACAACGTGAATATAGTCGATTAGCGAAGAACGATCGCGAGGAAACCGGGCCCACAGAGCCAAAAGGTGTCATCAACAAAGCATAGGTATAGGCATAATAATAACACCTCCACAGCATGTCCGAGTTTTCCCCGCCCTTCTTTTCATCTTTTCATCGGAGGTAGTATAAAGTGCGCTCACCATGGATTCATTCCGGGACATTCCACAGGCCAAGGGGGTAGTCGGATCCAAACCATCAGGATTTCCGCAGTCAATCAGGCCATTGTTGACAAGGGTGTTAAGACTGGTTTCCCTCATAGTATACTAATCCAGCTTCCACTACTACTTGGATCTGGGTTCTATTCTCCTACTTGCTATTGACTACCTAAGATGATGTCACGTACTTCGGGTGACGATACTTACTTACCAAGCATCGATTCCGATGATAGCGCGGAAGACGCTGAGCATCTTGTCGGGTAGAGACAGTGCAAAACGTACTGTACAGTTCCCATGAGACGTATTGCAATCCAATTGTAAGCTGGTGCACTCTTCTACTGCAGCATATCAGTCCACAACCCCACTAGACTAGGAAAACAAGATGAAAGATGGGGGGATGAAACAGATAGTCAACGACCGACGCGGTAGTAGTCTTGCCATGGGCAATTTTGGTTTTATTGAGGGAAATACCAGTTACCGTCAGGTAACCACCGGGAGAGTAGACAACTACAATGACTGCCATTGGCTCCCAGGGCTATTGAAGTGGCTGCATGAGGGATCGGACCGGAAGATGGGTTTTTTCCGGAACATCCAGAGTCAGAGATACGCTGCCGGCGTGGGTCCAGAGTGGTAGAAAAAAAGGGTAATTGGCGTAAGGTACGGTCACGGTGAGGTACGAAGTTAGTTTACCTTCAGACTCACTTTACCTACAATAGTTTAGTTTGGTTAGTTAGACTTACCTTACTATTACTTACTACTTACCTCGCAGCCCAGGTGTGTGTTTCTACTACAGTACGGAGTACTAGGTAGTTAGTTAGTTCCAGTGAGTGAAGGCGACTTGACTTGCTGGCTGTAGTAGTCTACAAACTCTAGTCGCTTTTTCTTTTCCTTCCCCCCCCAAAGTACTCATCTTCGACAAACTACAACATCCCACACATCTTCTCTTACTTACTTCTCCTCCTGTTTGCTTTGAACCTCGGATCATGTATTGAATTTTTCTCCCACTGCTATTTACTGCTATTGCTTCTACCCACCTAATTTTACCGTCGACTCCCTTTCTTTTTCACCCTCTTCTCCCTTCTTCCTTTCGCCCACCTGCCTACTTCCAGTCCGGCAGACTTCATACTTCCCACTGTTACCACCAGTGTCCACACACCTGACTAGTTTCTCTCCACTCGCGTCACCCTCATCAAGCTCTGCTTTGCTATCTACTATTCGTATCAATTCTCCTCCACACGTACCTCAACCTCTGTCTTTGGACTTTATTTACTCACTGTGACCTCTGTTTGGCCCGGGATTGAGGCCATCGTTTCTTTTTTTTTTTTTTTTCCCTTCTTTTCCCTGCTTACCCGCTCGACTTCTACTTTTCCATTTCCAGAAGTACAAGTTTCTACTATCCCTGTTCACCCTTCGCGACCACCCACATTCTACTCTTACCTGTAGCCAACACATCGTTGTTCTACCCAGTCATACATCGAGTTCATTAGCGAGACTCTCTTCTGCTCCCCATCTCGACTATCAATCTCCTGCTCTGCAACACAGACTGGCTCCGTTTCAGCTTTCACAAGGTATGTTACATATCACCTGCTTGAGCCATACTTTTGCCTCCTTGTGCCTACACCAGCCTGCCTGCCACGTTTCTGTCAATGCTGGATCCATTCTGGATCGCGAGAAGGCTGCCCAATGCTTATACCGGTGCTACTGCCTCCTAATCCGTGATTGTGTTTTGGGGCCTCGCCTTTCTCACCCTTGCCCCTCGGGACATCTGGTGTAGAAGCTTGCGCTGCAGTTACTTCTGGCGGCTTGGCACTACAAGCGAACTTTTTCAACCCCCAAGCTCCTTTCACTAACGCGCCTCCAGATCCCCAGTCTTGGGCATCGAGAAGGGTGATTTGCGTGTCCCCTTCGTCGAGAAAGTTTGTTTCTCTATTGAATTCCTTCCCGAGTCCTCTTCTTGATAGTCTCTGCTGGTGTTGCCATGGATTCTGTCGCTCAAAGCGACTTTGAAATGGACAGCCATACTTCGGACATGGCCAGCCAGGACTCCCCTCTGCGCCGACAATTCTCCGAGCCACTCAATGCTCGTTCTACCTCAACCCAGGCCTCTCCATCCCCCTCCCCAGTAACTCAATGGACCAAATGCACTTTGTGCGGAAAACTCCTCGAGTATAGTAAAGGCTCTGATTCTCAGAATAATGTTATGAAAGGCCACATTGCCACTGCGCATCCGCACATTACTGCACCCAAGACGCGTTTCGTTGCGGAAAGCGGCGATGACCAGTCTCAGCTTGACGACGACGAGGAGGAGCAAATGGAAGATGAAAGCGTCGACGAGAATGCAGAAATTGACGCCAGTGACCTTCTCGAAGTTGAAGATGATGAGGACAACCGCGTGAACGATACTCTAGAAAATGGCGTGGCCGATACAACTGAAGTCGACGATGAAACCTACAAGCTTCCAGAGGATGCGGATGGCGAAGAGCCAGATGCTCACGAGCCCGATGTGCTGTCGAGCCAGTTGCATGAGTTTTCGCGCGCTCAAGATCCTGTGACATTGGATCAACGCCTTCATAACCTCTGGAATATTCACGATGTCCACCAATTCTGCAGTGACCATGATGAAAAGACTGCCGATCTAGAACACTCCTGGACTACATTGTCCAAGGAGTCGAAGCGCCCACGAAAGCGCGAAGCACCCGATGAGCTGCAAGACCGACCAGAACCTTACAAGAAATCGAAGGTCTCTCCAGGAGAATTCCTTGAGATCACGCCTCTCGAGGAATTTTTGAGTCAGCTTCGAGACCCTGAGCATCGTTCATACGAGGAACTCTATGCTATCACTGAGAACGTCGCTTTCGCTCTCAAGGTATGGCAAGATGAGTATCTGGCCATCGAAAAGTTGAACAAGCACGCCACCCGACACAACGCTAAACCGATTAGCGATCCCAGGAAGTTGCTGAGGCCGCAAGTCTTTGAGGATAAGAAGGAGTCTATGCTCTACGGATACAAGCATGAGCCGAAGGAAGATAAGGTTGGCTGCCAGAATCCGTTCACTCAGGGCGGCTTCAAACCTACTCCGGCCCAGTATCGCAAGATGACCGCCAAGCTCGGCCCCAATCATCCCAACCCAGATGGCTGGCCTACTATCATGAAATTCGGCGTCGAGCACGTCCCTAAATTTCAAAACCCGCCTCGGGAGGACTTTGTCGGCAAGGCTACCCGCAAGCGAAAGGCCGCGGAATTGGAGGCAGCCAACAGAGAAAAGGCGTCGTCGGTCTCCGACGAGGCCGCTACAGACTCACCCGCTCCGGTGGAACCAGAGGAGAATATACGTCAACGGCGCACACGCACCCGTCGCCAAGGCACGGATTTCGATGATCAATCCGATTCCACATCCGCTCCGCCCATCCGGTTCGCCACGCGCGGCCGTGGTAGCGGCCGTGGGCGCGGGCGAGGTGGCATTCGTACCATCACGATCAATGGCCCGTCTGATCCCTCTCAAGCGCCAGCGCTAGTGGCTTCTCCTCGCTCGACGACAATTCGCATCGAGAAGCCAACCACCGCATTAATGCAGACCCGACCCGGCACAGTTCAATTGCCGCCTATTGAGCCAGCGCCGAGCAGTAACCAAGTAGCTGCACCTCCGGCTGGCACACCAGTCGGGAGCACTCCGGAAGACTCAATCGACCCTGCGGAGCTTGCTCGACGACAGAAAATCGCCAACTCGAAGAATCCAAAGCGGACAGAAGCTATGCTCAACCATTGGGCCCGATTCAATAAAGAGGGTCGGGTTCGCAATCCCAAACGTTCCAAAGCCCAAATTGAGGCGGATCGCGCGGCCGAAGCTGCCCGCAAGGCTACCGAACCCCCCAAAATCGGTCCACGAAAGAAGAAAATGGACAGTCCGGGCTACGGAGGCCCGAGGATCGAGCAGGGAATTGCACCGGCTCCAGCTCCCATTCAGCCTGCCGCACCTCCTCCTACCTTAGCCCCCAGTCATGCGACCCATCCTCAATTGGCGCCGTTGCCTGCACCGCGACCTCCTCTGAATCCTTACCCACCCATTGACACCCGGGGAGTCCCCTTCCCTGGACCTCACACTCTATTCCAACAGCCGGCACCTCAACCTTACCGCACACCTTATCCGGAGTATTATAGTCCTTACGCACCCACGCTACCACCGCCACCAGGTCACCCACGTCCTGCCTAAATTTTGGTTGACTTTATCATTAAGAAATGTATTGCGCAGTCCCTAGGAAAAAGTTGGATGCACTCTGTACACTACAGTGATTGTTGTGCATATGTACTACCATCCTTGTGAGACAGCCAGGAGACTCGCGTCTCAGTGCTTGTCTGTTTTGTCCCTTCTATTTGTGTCTTGCTAGCGATTGGCGCCGGGGCTTGATTCTACTGTATCATTGTGGGATTCTGGATTGGTTCAACAGGTCTGTTGTGGTGTATCGATTTAAGATGTCGAGGCTCCGTGGGTATGTACTGTACATCGTTGAGTGGAGGATTGTTGGCTCGGAGCATGAAAAGCTATTAGATGTAATATATTGATCGTCGAGCAACACTGACTTGACTCTAACAACCATTGCTTAATCGTTTGTGCTGTTGTTTTGTAATGGAGTGTGACTTGCGAAACATTGTGGTTCTCACATGCAAAGTCTCGAGTAGATCTGAGACAGACCTTGATGATGAAGCGGACTCCGTTGTATGGAGGTCGTTTGCTTTTCAGGTGCCTAGAGTTTGAATGGAGTCATGTTTGAAGCAAGATATAATTAATCATATCCAATTATCTAGTTGATGATACTTAATTCACTAGTCAGCAATAGTTAACCTGATCTATCACTTCCCAAAGGACTAAAGCTATGATGTCGTATCATGTGACTGTCAGCGCATATGCTGCACGTGACAACGCTCACCCAACCAACCTCAATCTCATCAGCGGCGACTCACTCGCGACCAGAATCTCTGCATTCCAGTCTACTCCACCAACCTTTCTCTCTTTCTCAATTTTCGAAGCGACCAGCTTCACAGTCACACAATGGGCAAAAAGAGACGCGGACCCACGTTAGAAGAAGTGCTGGCTCGTCCGTGGTGCTACTACTGCGAGCGCGACTTCGATGACCTCAAGATCCTTATCTCACACCAGAAAGCCAAGCACTTCAAGTGCGAGCGATGTGGGCGCCGACTAAACACTGCCGGAGGTGAGTTCATCATCAGTGTGCGATTCATATCAAGCCGAGGAAGTCATCGTCTAACCGGTGTGCTTGGCTTTAGGCTTGTCCGTGCACATGAGTCAGGTACACAAGGAGCAGCTTACGGCTGTCGACAATGCTCTCCCAAACCGATCCAGTCTCGACGTCGAGATCTTCGGGATGGAGGGTGTCCCCGAGGATATCATCCAGGCGCACAACCAGCGGGTGGCGACACAGTTCCAGCAGGCAGAGGCCGAGCGGCAGGCCGTGACGGGCAATCCGCCTCCCGGGACGTCAGCGACGGGCGGACAGCCGGCGAAGAAGCCCAAGCTGGAGAGCGTTTCGGACCTCAAGAAACGCCTGGCGGAACACAAGGCGAAGATGGCGGAAGCGCGTGCGGGCGGCAGCAGTGGCGAGGCCACGCCTGTGGGAGCCGGTCAGACACCAACGATGGGTGGATACGTAAGTGTTTTGTTGTTGTTTGACTCGAATTCGAGTTTGTATACTGATGTCATATCTCTCGGACAGGCCGCAACGTCCACTGCACCGCCGCCTGCGACCACTCCCTCTCAATTCTCCTATCCTCAGCCCTACGGCGCCGCCGCAGCCGCCGCTTCTCCCTTCCAGCAACCCCCTCAACAAACGGCCAGCCCCGTGTATCCGACCTTCTCGCCCGGTGGCCAGGCGAATGCGCAGTATGCTGCTCCTCCCACGACCTTCTCCCCGCAGCTGTTCCCGACTGGGGTTCCCGGCCAACCGCCGTACGGTGCCACACCGCCGACATACCCGACGCAACAGTCCCCTCCCCAGACACACACTCCCCCGCAGCTCGGGGGCGCCTTCCCACCCCGTCCTGCCGGGCTGCCCGCTGCGCCTGGTCTCCCTCAGCGGCCGGCCGTGGGGGCCCCGCAGGTCAACGCCTACCAAATGCAACAGATGCACATGGGCCACACCGTTCCCCCGAACACCGGCATGAACGGCGCCGACAAGGCTTCCGGAGCGGCGGCGGAAAGCACGGGGTTCTCCGGTTCCGTGGACGATTTGATCTCCGGGGCGGCGAAGCAGGCCGAAGCGGCGACGGCGACACCACCGACGACCACGAGCACGACTGCCGGCAAACCGGCCGAGGGCGAGGACCAAAAGCCCAAGAAGGACAAGTCCAAGGCGCGATTGGTGTATTCGGATAACGAGACCAGCCCGGAGGAGAAGATGGCTAGGTTGTCAAGGTACGCATATGTTCCTGACCAGCGAGGGGAGACGGTACTTGAAGAGCTTCCATCCGCCGTGGTGGTTGGGGCGATCCGGGAATCGGACACGGTGGTGGATGCGACGGATTAAGTGCAAGCACACACGCCCGTACACGCAGACACACCCCGAAGAAGAAAAGAAAGCAGAAAAAGAAAAAGTTCCAAAAAAGAATTCCAGTGCATACACATCAGCTAAGTTTCTGTTCACATCACATCACACACATATACACACCAAACTGTCAATGTCTTGTTGTTTGCTACTACTTGACTCGGTGGCAGTGGGTCGGCCGTGACCTTTGTTTGGGTCGGCCGTCATTTTCTCCTTCGGAAAAGTGAGCACCGACTGTGCATGCAACAAGAAAAGAGTAGTTGGTGAGTGCCGAACCTTTTGCTTTGTTACTTTTCTGTGAGAACGACCGAATCGACGATTCCAGGGATTTGACTCGATTGATTGAGGGTTGGGGGGGGGGACCAGATTGGACGTTTAGTATGGTATGACTATTGTAAGTTGCGTCTAGAAGGTAGGCCACTTAAATTATTGAATATGAGATCAGACATTTATCAGTAGCAGTACTCGTTACTATATGTTATTCAATCAAGCTCTAGCCCAGTAAGAAATTACAAGCCATAAAATTAGGTAATGCATTCAAGAAGCCCATAACATACCCAGCCAGCTTACAAACAGAACTAACCCTCCCCCCCCTCCCCCTCCCCTTTCTTGAATCAAGAGAGTATACGAACTCACTCACTCAATCGACCAACACCCGAGTCTCGTCCCCTGCCCCACCCCATCACCATATGCTATTTCATTTGCCGCCAAAAACCAACCCCCCGAACACCCATAACCCATAAATCGCCACGAGGCTCAACACCGTGGGCACGGGCTTCCCGCCGGTGCGGACGGCGCGCGGGATCGAGCTCCCGGACAAGATCACCGAGGCCAGCAGCGCCAGCTCCGCGCCGTACGGCTGCGCCGCGCGCAGGCGCAGCCCGCTCACCAAATACAAAAACCCGACGGTCAGGCCCGCCGCGATCGAGGGCACCGAGCCCGTGCGCAGGTAGCCGATCGTGCCGCCGGCGGAGGTGAGGAGGGCGAGGGTCAGGGCTGTTGTTGACTTTGCCATCATGATTCTGTTAGTGGATTCGGGTTGAGGGGGTGTTATTCTTCTTGGGAAGAGGGGGTGGGGGGTAGGATAGGTTGGGGTGATGGTAGCTGGCTGGATAGCTGGCTGGATAGCTGGCTGGATAGCTGGCTGGATAGCTGGGTGGTTGAATTGGGACTGGGAGTGGGATGGGTTGTGGGTGATCGGAGGGGAATGAGGAGTGTTGGACGTACCATTGTGATGATGTTGTGGTGTTGTGATTATGAAGAGCGTGAAGTACTGTACTGTACAAGAGTAGGGTGTGGTGATGGTGTTGGTGTTCAGATATGCAGGTGGTTAACTCAAGTTATATGCTCACTGTTTACTGCCGCGGAATGGTCTGATATCCGGGGTTAACAGGCAGTCATTAGTAATGCCTTCCCTTCCCTTCTCGGCCTTCCGGGCCCGGCGGATCGGCGAGTCTGGATCCGCCTCTATACATCATCTACTCTAACTTCCTGTATACATCATCGGATCTTCTCCGTACTCATGTACTGTACATGTAGTGACCAACCACTCAACAGTATAGCTAGTCTTCTGTTCTTCTATCTCACTCATGTTTCATATGTCACATAGCACGTGTAGCAAGCATATACAAACTCATTGCATCGTTTAAACTTTTCCCTGTCTCTTTTCCCTTTTTCATCCCCACCAGCTCAATTCTACTCAACCCCGTATGGTGGAACGCTCAACAGCTCCGTATCCCCCAGTCTGGCTTTCCTCCACACCCTCCACCTCCTCCTCCTCCACCTCCTCCTTTCCATGGAACCCATCCGACTCCTCTGTCCAAAACACCGGAACGGCACTGACGGCCGCAAATACCGCTAGAAGCCACCACGGAATGATGATGAACCCCCGCTTCACGCCGAAGGAAAACGCCGACCCCGTCAGCGCCGGGCCCACTGCGCGCCCAATGGCACTGACGCTCGTCCCCACTCCGTTCAAGGTCCCCAGGACACTCAGGCTGGCCGCTGAGTTGGTGAGGAGGATCGTCGTGCAGGGGAACCCGAAGATCGAGGCGGAGAGCTTGCCCAGCATCAGCAGAAACACGACCACGTGGCGCAGCGAGCCCGGCACCAGCGCCGTGAAGGGCGTCAGTAGGTAGAGCACGGGGAAGACGATCGAGACCACCTTGAGGCAGTTGAGCACGCCGTACTGTTTGGCGGCCGTAGGGAAGATGAGGAACTGCACCAGCATGCCGATGATGCCGATCAATGTGTAGTAGATTCCGATAGTTTGGGAGTCTGGTGGTCGGTTCGGTTAGCATCGAATCGTGTGAGCACAAACGGCAAAACTCACCCACGCCGAACCCGCCAATGAATTTGAACGGCAGACGCACGTCCGGGTTGCTTTCGAGCTGCTGCGGCGGCGTATGCAGGAAGACGGGAAACAGCGAATCAAACGCCATGGTATGCATCGACATGAGCGAGTACGCCAGCAGAATCAGGTTGGATTGCGACGAGAACACCTCCGCCCAGCTGGGTTTCCGGGCTGGCTTGTTGCCCGCGGTTGCGCGGCGCTGCCCCAACAGCGCCGTTCGTTCCTCATCGGTTTCGGTGGTCGTCGTTGTCGACCGTGACTTCTTATCCGATCGGGCAGTCCGACACGGCCGCGTCAAAGCCTGACCCAACACAAGCCCGTAATCGCGTTGATGCTTCTTTGCCGCCAGTGTTTCCTAAATCCGACCCCATCAGCACTGTCCTTGCCCCCTTACCCCCCTCACCTTCCCCTTTTCTGTGGTACGAACCTCCAAAAACAAAAACCCCGTACTAATCCCGACGACAAAAAACCCCGCGGCCGCCAGGTTGGGCAGCAGAAAGGGATACCGTTCCAAAAACCGCCACCGGCCAAACACCTCCGGGTGCTTCTCAACGGGGCGAGCCAGCGCGCCGCCGAACGCCGGCCCAAAGATACTCCCGATGGTCCAGACGAGCGGCATGATGCTGAAGGCGCGCGGCTGCAGCTCCTTCTCAGGGACCATCTCGGCGACCATGGTGCGGATGATGCCGACGTTGCCGTTCAGGAGGCCCAGCAGGCCGCGCGCGAACACCAGCAGCGTCAGGTTGCGCGCGAACCCGAACACCAGCGACATGACCATCGTGCAGATCAGCCCCGTCAGGATGACGGGCTTGCGGCCGACCGTGTCCGACAGCGTGCCCCAAGTGACGGCCATGGCGGCCTGGCTGAAGGAGGTCACCGCCGCGGTGATGCCGACCCATTTGGCGATCTCGTGCTTGGGGACACCTACGGACTCGATCATTTCGGGCTTTGGGGGGGGGGTTTCCATTAGTTTAGGTGGCTGGGGATTTCGGGGAAGTCTGGATGTTACTTACTAGGTAGGGCAGGACGGAGGTGAGGACCACTGTGGTAATGAATGACCGGGGAAAGTCGTTAGGAAGGCAAATGCAAAGTACAGTACGGACGAACCGCGCGCAAACGGTTCTTAGTTCAAAGGCATAGGCATACCTGGCTCCGCGAAGCGACATATTGCTATGGTAGATAAATTGGTCAGTCGAGGAGGTTCTTTCGCCGTGAGATTCTTACATGGGATGTAACAACAGCTGAACAGATTTATTTCTGGACTTACAGAGAATGACCAGCTGCCGCACGGGCAGCGTGGGGGCTTTCTTCAACATGCTGACCTGGCGGGACCGGGTCAACTGAAGCAGAAAAAAGGATAGAGAGTGGGTGAAGAGTGAAAGAGGAAAGAGAAGTGAAGGAGGAAGGAAAAGAAGAGGAAGAAAGAAGAGGAGGAGAGGAGAATTAGTAGACGGAAAGAGACTAACTCGTCGAAGCAGAGGCAGCGGCGGCGCGAGGGCGTGTGACCGGAAGACGATCAACACGCAAAACCCACTCTCTTTCTGCTCCGACTCACTGTTCGGGACCTTTTCAGCTTACCTGCTCGGATTTAGTGGCTGCTTATCTGCTCTCTAAGGCGCATCGAGACTATATCCCCATTCCCGTCTGTGTCATTCTAACTACATGTCGATGCTTAGAATGCTTCCCGCCCTTCTACCACAACTATAACCGATTTGACCGTATACTGGATTCTTTCACATCTGATGTCCCAACAGGTTTTTCCAGAAATTGTCTACAGTCAGGCAGTCTCAATTTACAGGGTGAAACAATCTCCAATCCGCGATCCCCTCTTGCTTTGTCCTTGCATGCATGCACTTCCCAGTCAGCTGGCATGCCATCCTGCAGAACCCACCCCCTCCATACACATACTCTACTGCAGCAGCCGAGTGGCCGCTTCGATGCGCTCCAAAATAATGGAGCGCCATTTCTGGAAACCAAGTCAGCAACACATCCCTAAGATACTACCAATAACTAGCGACAACATACCTGGGAGTTTGTCAGATCGCCCGCTTCCAGACTCTCCACCAGGCCCGGGTAAGTCGCCCCGGAATAGCCGGTCCAGATGCCGGGGGCAAACACGACGTGCTTGTACCAGCTGCGGCCATCCAGACCCGGCTGGTACAAGAACTGCTTCTCAATGCTCTTGTATTTGTCGTTCACCACGCGGATCTGGAAGAGCAGCCGCACCTTCTTCCACCAATGGTACCATGGCACATCCTCGCCCAGCTGCGAGGCCAGGTCCGCCGCGTGGGCCTCAAACCGCGCGGCCGCCGCTTGGAACTGCGCAATAGCCTGGTCCAGAGGCGCAAAGTCAAACGACGTGCCCTTGGGGAGCTGCTTCGCCACCGGCTTGATCTGGCTGAGGTATTGCTCCAGCCCCAGAGCGTAGTCGGTCGCATTGAAGGCAATGATCGGAGTCTCGATCAACTTGGCCGCGGCGAGCGCCCAGATCTTGGTGCATGTCTCGTGGTATTTCCAGCTCGGATCGCCAAACCGGTCCATCCAATCGAAGCTATCATAGTTCGAGTGGTAGTGGTACACGGCATCCTTGGGACCCCGTCCAAAGCCAAGGTCGTAGCTAGCAACGCCCGCAAAGTCCTGGAAGGCTGTGAAGTCGCTGCCGCTACCCATCGTAGCAATATGGCCATCCCAGACATCTCGCACGGTCTGACCCGGCACGGTCTGGTTGGGAGACTGCACCAAGCCGGTCACCTCGTAGATGAGCTGGTTCATCAGCGGGCTAGCCCGTGGCTCCAGCACGGTGCCGGCCGCGGCCACATCCACGTTCAAATAGGCAATGTTGGCCTTGGAGAGCCACGGGAGCTGGTCTTCCACCCACTCCGTCGAGCCTAGCAGCCCGTACTCCTCACCATCCCAGCTGGCAAAGACAATGGTTCGAAGCGGCTTCCAGCCCACCTTGAGGGCCTCGCCAAAGCTGCGGATGACCTCATTCAGCGCGGCCGATCCACTGTTGGGGTCGCCCGAACCGCCAGCAATCCACGCATCGCGGTGATTGCCCAGGATCACCACCTCATCTTGGATGTGGCCTTTCACAACTCCAATGACATTCCAGAGGGGTGTCGTCACATACTCCTGCTCATTGTACAAGTTGATGACGATATCATCCGGGGTAGGACCGATGTTATACTCTACACCCTTGGAATGCAGCTTACCGCCCTGCCACCACTTGTTGAAGTCCGAGGCCTTGGGACCATGGCCATTCAGTGCCTTCAGAAGTGGGATCACCTCCTGGTACGAGATAGGCAGGGAGGGAATGGACGGGATCGAGTGGAACGGATCCTGTCGCTCACAGCCGGGCTTAGAGGCATACCCGGGGGTAGTCGGGTCACCCGGCGCTATGCCTAGGGGTCATGATCAGTCACACCGGGATCTAGGATGTAGCTGAAAGTAGGGAAAGAAGAAAAAGGAGTTACGTACTTAAAAACTGCGTACTACCGCGCTGCACGGCGCTCGGGTTCCGCGCAGGACCCTTGGGATACGCCTCGTAGCCGTTCTCCTCGGTGATCTCCCCGTCCGATTCCGGGTCATCGTATAAGATGACACCCACCATGCCGAGCTCCTGCGCCCGCTTGACCTTCAGCCCGCGGAAGATGCGGCCATACTTGCAGATGGCGATCTTGCCGGCCAGGCTGACGTTCGCGTCGATCAGGTCCTGGAAGTCGTACACGGTGCCGAAGTTGGCAAACACGAAGGGCGCCGTGACGTTCCCGCTCGCCGAGTATCCGTGGAAAGTCGGCACGCGATCCGTCAGGTTGGTCGTGTGGTCCTCCTCGAGGATGTCCTCCTCCAAGGTGGCCTCAAAGGTCACCTCGGTGGTGTCGCCTATCTTCTTCAGGAGGGCCAACCGGTGATCTACGGGGTAGTTGAGGAAGATGTCGTAGGCGACAATACTAGTGTCGTCGATTCCGAACTCCTGCCACCGTTCCTGGGTCCATACGGCCTGGCTCAGGTTCTTGCCAGCTAGATGGGGACCGGCGGTGTAGTAGCTACTCCATTCCCGAGCCTTCTCGGCGGATGGAGTCTCGTGAAGCAGAGCCTGCAGCTCTTCGAAGCCCAGGCCGTGGCCGTGAGGCCAGGAGGCATGAGGGAATGGATTCGCCCAGGGAAGGTAGGACCAGATGGACCCATGCTCGCGAGGAAGAATGGCAGAGGGGATGAGAAAGAGAAGGACAGAGACAGCGAGGATGAAGCCCAGGATGAAATTACAGGATCGTCGAAGGGCGTGGTGAGGGTATCGGTACCGCCGAGGCGCGATAGCGACAGTAGTGAGCAACGGAGTGGATTCCGAGGGAGCCATGGCTTTCTCCCTCATCTCGGGTACCATAATGATCTAGACCCAATGGATGAAAGAGATAAAAAGACAGAAGAACTAGCTAGCTAGCTAGCACCCATCGCAGGAAGAATGAGGAAGAGAAAGGAAGGGAGAGGAGATGAGGGAGATGAGGAGGAGGAGGAGGGAAAGCAAGTGGGTAAGGGTAGGTAACTAGTTGAGATGACGATTAACTTATCAGCTCCAGTTGGATCTCCGCAGATGAATCAGCGACTATCTTATCAGTCACCTGCTGAACCTGGTCTAGCGTCAGCTCCACACAGTGACAGTCTCGGCTTGCTCCCTCTTTTTGTTGTTATTATTGTAGTGACGGTAGTGACGATAGTTTAGTTACGGTAATCTCCCAACTTATTATTTACTCACAATCACGGAATCGCACGCCATCATCAAGAATCCACTTTCTGCTTTTCAGCTAACATTCCGCTGATGAGAGCCCCAGGCTAGTTTCATTCAAACAGATAGGTATCAATCGTAGAACACAGAAACTATACATAACAGACAGCGCACCGCCAACACGCCCCTACCGATGCACCAAAATAAAAATAAAAAAAAAAAGAAAAAAGAAAAAAGAAAGAAAAACAATGCAAGGAGTAAGAGATAGGCTGAGACAAAAGAGAGATTTCGCCCCCTCCCCAATCATCAAGCTGCCAATTACAAACAAACAGACGCTGTCTCTTCCACATTCGACTCGTCTGGCTCCTGGACCGTGATCTTGTCATTCAATGCAGGATTCACCGTCTCACCGAGCTCCATACTGTCGCGTAGAATCTGCCTCGCCCGCTCGTCACCCACCTTCATATCCTCCTTGACAAGCCTCATCGCCAGCTCAGGAACCAGAACGGCCTGTGCATACCCGGCCACACCGGCCGTGTTGATGATCTGGTCCTGAGGGCCGAGGCGACGCAGTTTGCGAGCGTACCGTGCCATAATACATTCGAGCCTAGAGTAGTGATGCATTAGTCGCGCAACTGAGCAATCAGAGGAAGGGGTTCACTCACATTATGGAAGAACCGCGCGTTCCGTAGTAGCCGCATGAAATATCCTCCAGTCCATCACTGCGCAAATCAAGCTTAAAGTTCTTAGCTTCACCCGCCTTGAGCTTGGTGTCCAAGATGTTTCGGTAAAATGACGAGCTTCCCGGCTCCAAGACCCGGTCGAGTCCTTCCAAGTGCGGCTTGATCCGATCCTCGAATAAGCCCCAGTCGATGGTCGGATAGCCTTTCTCTTGCCACTCTCTCTCGCCGGCTGTACTCTTATGGGATTCACAGAATCGCCTTTGTTCGCGCATCCGCTGCTGCGGCTGTGCTTGAAAGCGCTCGAGAAGTTCGCGAGGCACAGGCTCTTTGCACCACGGACAAAGAGCAGGCTCCGAGGTGTACATCCCGTCGTCCGACTCGAGCGAGGGATCGTCAAACCGAGACAGCTCCTGCAGCAAGGCTGATGATGCGGAGCTCAGCGCCCCGTCGGACAACGAGTCACTATCATCAAAATCCAACGAGATAACGTCACGAGCGGACGAAGTAGCGAACGATGAACCGGAAGTGGCAGTAGGAGGAAGGGGAGGCGGCGCTTTGAATTCGGGTTCCGGGCTAGAGTCCAGGGCACGCGGCATCTTGAACTCCTCCTTAGAACTGCGCGATTCACTTGCTCCCGTCGAATTTTTTCTCAGCTTGCCGTTACGAACACCAGCCGAGGGGGACTGCGAGGCCGCGGGAGAAGTCCAGCTCGGGGTAGAGCCCGTCCCGAACGACTTCCTCGAGCCATAGCCGACCGCGGGCTTCCGTCGCTTGGAGCTCTGCGATGACCGAAACTGCGACGAAAAGAGGGCATCCTCCCCGTCGCTCGTCAGATCCCCGCCATTGAACGTGTCCACGAACGTCCTCTTCCGGTCCGAGTTTGTGGACTTCGACTTCCGTGTCTGGGGTCTCTGCCGGGAAGCCCGCGGCGTCTCCTCGCCTTCAGTTGAGCGCCTGGAAAGTTTCTCCTCCAATGTAGGCCCTGCTCGAGCCGTATAGCGACTCGTCTCGCCCAACAATTCATCGTCCGACAGCTCGGTGGGGGTGTGACCTTCGTCTTCGCTAGTGCTGAGGGGCTCGTCATCCGTTGCTGGTTCAGGTCGCGCGCTCTCCAGTAGGCTTCGCTCGTTGGTGCGAAAGCTTGTGAGAAGATGCCCTCCGGGAATGGGGTCGTTTCTGGTCAATCGGTTCGAGGCGAAGCTCGAATTGGGCTTCACTCTTGCGCGGGTGGTAACGGACATGACGGGCGACGGGTTGACGGACGTGGGGGGAGGGGAAACGAGGATATCGTGGATCCGGCAAATAGATCAATAAAAAGGTAGAGGGAGATAATCATGCGAGCAGGGTGTTGGGAGCAGTTCCGCTTGGTTCGGATATTGGGAGAATGTTGTTATGCGTCGTGTGTTTTGAGGGTGCTTTTCTTTGTGGTATAAGGAGTGGCGGGCGTAACTCGGTAAACATACGACAACCTCGCTGATAAGGAGGAACCAAGCCAGAATATAATCAGCTCATATTTGTACCATCAAGGTAGTATGTACTCAGAAATCAAGGCAAGGAAGCAATATGTCCAATAAGGGCGGGTGTGTGAGAGACAGGAGAAGCAAGAGGATTCGAATTGAAAGATGCGGTCGAGGAGGGACGCGCGCGGGTGACACGCTCTCGGCGGCCCTTCTCCGCACGGCGGATGGCGATCCTCCCGCGAAGACACATTCTGTCTTCCTGCAACACGAGTACACCAGCCATGGCCATTAACAGCTGGTGAGTAATTTGTACTACAATGCTTCCCCAATCAAGCCAAACTAGGCATATCCCATGCAGGGTTTATCCCTATCGTGCGAGACGCTTGCAGAGCTAGGTATTGATAAGACATTCCCCAAACTTCACATGGAAAACTAATGCGAGTTGTATATAAGGTATAATATGTAATTAAGTAGACAAGTATCTGTGCCAGATGTAGACCCATAGATAGGTAAATAGCAGGCCTAAATCCCCCAAGGGCGGCTAATAATAATGCATAGTAATGGCCTCAAAACACGTCAGAGATAGCCTTTGGCCCGGATGAATAGGGGAGAAGTCGACGGTAAGACACGCAGAGTCGAACCGCGTGACTTGCAACAGAATCAACAATATTAACGCAATCTTAAGTCTAAACTTTCCGGTTGGCCATATCAGCTGCAGACGTGGCGTGTAAGACACAAAGAAGAATCGAAACGGATCGAAACGAATCGGAAACCCAGGATAAGTTGGTAGAAGAGGCCGTCAACCAAGACACTGACTCAGCGCTTGAGCAACGTCAGCATGTACAAGAACAGAAGTCTCATTCACATCATAGTAGCATATTCTCATGCCTTGTCATTACTCGAAAGTCATCTGAATCTCACTTTCATCGCCATCGCCGAAGTCATGTTCGGCCCAGGCGTTGGGTTCTAGGGCCATAGCACCCATGGTACTAGCGCCCAGAGCGGGCATCGTGACTGCGGACCGAAGCTCGGGTCTGGCAGGATGGGCATCATATGAGTTGGAAGCCCCGAATGAGGAATGAGTCCGCGTCGGTGGCTCGTGAAAGGAAGTATCAAAGGTCATCTCAACTTCCTCTTCGTGATGCGGAGAGTACAGTGGAGCCTGGCGGGAAGGGCTATAGCTTTCTTGCTTCTCCGGAAGTGTCTCCGGTGGAGGCGGGCTGGGCTCGTAGGACTTTGTCGCTTGAGGTTTCGATGGTGTGGGGGCAGGCGATGGACTCGCGGGGGTGCTCAAGTCCAATTTCATGGGTGGAAGGGTAGATTCAAGCTGTCTGACCTCGAGATTCTCTGAAGCGAGCTCAGCCCTGATGGCATCAATGTCAAACAATATTGACCCAGTGCCGTTATTGGTATCGGTAGAGCTCCGCGCTGTGGCGTCATTGCGATCCACATCATATGTCTCCCATTTCTTCTTCTGAGCAAGTTTGCCACGCTTAAACAACCCGAAGCGCTTCTTCTCCGGCTTTTGCTCGGCGTCACGTCGTGCCTCGTCAATCTCACGAATGAGCTCCCTTTGCCGCTCGGCATGGTTTTCAGGGTCAGGGTCCTCGATCTCTGCGAATTCCTCGCTCACGACCTCCCACCCAACCTCCTTGAGCAGCCGGGGAATTGCGGTACGGTAGTCCATGTGACCATTGACCAATTTCGTGAGGTCAAAGTTCTCCAGTCCTGGAATGCTTTCTATGGGAGCAAGGCCTGCCACCTTCATAATACCGCCGCTTGTCGCTCGGAATAGATATCCCAGAATCCAATCATTCGAAGCGTAACCATTGACAAACCGACCAGAAATAACACTGCGCGCCTTGAGATATTCGTCCCTATTGGCCACCATGGGCGACCCGAAGAGGTAAACATTCTGCACCAATCCGTATGCGCCCTTGTCTGCAAGTTCCTTCAGGCAAGAGAAGATAACCCTGGCACCAAGAGAGTATCCCACAAGCGTGACAGGTCTTTTCCCTAGATTATGCACCATGAGGGAGTCTGCAAGAATCAGACCGGCCGCATTTGCGCGAGTGAGCGAGACATTCCAAGGATTGTCAATGAGGTATGACAGCTTGGTGAGTACAAGAGGCAGCTGCAGAGACGCCATCAAGGCTACCAGGACAGTCTGTCCTAGGACTTGCTGAAGACCTTGCGTCAAAGCCTAGATTTTATCGTTAGCCCTGCTGTCGATTTAGGTGATTCATAAACTCACCTCTGTGGCTAGAATGTTTATAGTGTCTCCCATACTCCGCAGCATTTCAGGCTCCCACAGGACTGAGTACAGATCTCCCATGATGGGGTCAACGGTACTGAAGGGCAGCCGTACGTCATCTACTTTGCCAGTCATCCAACCAGCGACAGTGATTATCAGATTTACCCGCTTGTTGTTGTGCAAAGGGCGGTATTCGAAGGTCTGCACTGCTCCCATTCTTCTCTGGGACGCTCTCAA